CTGATTTTGTTAAAATTGGGTCTCCCTATGATTTGACCTTGGTTTCACCTAGAATGAAATTCATGATGAGATTCTAACAATGAGATTTTACTTTGTATTGCCATAATGAAGAGTTTTCATAATAGGAAGGCTTAGTACATCAACAAGGTTGGTGGAAATAAACTTATGTATGGTGTATGTGTCAATGAGAATAGTGATATCATTGTTACTAAAGTTTCTTTGAGATTCATAGTTTTTAGGTATGTGAGACACATTATTAAGTTGAAGGATAATTCTATCTTGTTTGTGAATTTTTGGAATATTTGTGCTCTGAATGTTGCCATCCTTAAGGTTGTCTAAGCCTTGTAATGGGTCATTGTCAGTGACCATGATGATATGGTGTTCTCATTGGTAGTGATGACTAAAAGTAAATTTATTGTCTAATGAGAAACACATACCTTTTGACTTTCAGGCCTGAAACTTAGAGTTAGTCAAGTTGATATGGCAATAGAGAATATAGTGAACCAAGGAAGATTGCTGAGATTTAGTCATCCTAGTATATGCACTATTAGTATCCTTAAATTTAGTTCCTCTTTGTGAAATGAAATGACCCAAGATTCCAAGGAAAATAAGATAGAAATTTATAATGAAGAGTGTTTTTTTTCTTCCACTCATTGCACCACCTTCTTATGGAATTTGAGAAGCCATACTTCTACATAACGTTTTAATTTCAAGCTTTTAATAAATATTTTTTGTAATATATCATCTAAAATGTCCCCTATTGTAAAATACATAAGCTAAATATTATGTTAATGATCTTACATGTAGTTCTATTGAGTAAAGTTGAAGAGTTATTTAAGTTATCATTGTTGGATGGCCTTAAATTATCTAGGAATTGTTGTCAGAGGTTGAACTAATTAGCAAAAAGGTTGTGAATTTCGACCCAATGAAGCCAAACCAATGGTTCATCTTTGAAGTTGATGCCTATTCTAATCAATTTTTCTAGTTCAAAATGTTGATGAATAGAGAAGTAGAGTTTGGCATAATAAATCTAGTTATAAGGATTCTTTATAGACAAGATTGAGATTTCATTATGATGACTATTAATAGCCATATCCATATAATAGTAACTACACCAATTCATCAAGAAAGGCATGACACCTAAAGAAAAATTCATTCATTATTTGGTGGTGGGCATCACTGGGGAGTGAGTGTTGTTGTTGTTGGGGTGGTCATCAGTCCAAGAGCAATTTATCAATTAAGATAAAGATTTTTTGATCTAATAGAAAATACTTTTGATGATGGAAAATGATTGTTCTAGTGTGAGTTATCATTGTTCAATATGAAATCGAGTATACATCAAAATTATTCACAAAGTTCATTGAAACCTTTCTCCATACTATCAAGTCAATTATCATTTTGTTTGAGAGCCATAATCAAAAGGCTAGAAACATTAATGCTTTGATACCAAAATGTTAAGAACCCATGGAATGAAAATAAGAGATTGACATTGTTGGGGTCTTGAATCCTTGAACTTAAATAAAGGCAATTGTCTATAGTTATAGTGTCCATTAACAGGTAATAATGACAAACTTAATGTTCTTCTTCTAGCCAAGGTTGCAGCTGATGTTGAACCAACATAAGCAAGGTGTAAGAGAATTAAGACATGAGAGAAAGAGGTAATAGGGAGAAAGAGATAAAGTGTGTGTGTGCGTGTGTGTGTGAGAGAGAGAGTGAGATGTTTGACAAAGGCTAATAATTATCACAATAGGTGAGACTCTTCAAGTGGGCTCTAACTTTATAGTTTTTTTTCTCCCTCTTCTCTTCTTTGAAGGTCAAACTAAATAGCTTCATTGAAGCTATTTATGGAGGCTGGTAGTTAATGCTTGTAGTGTCTCCATATTTGCCATATTCTTGTTTACTATTTGACTTTTGGTGTAGTTTTATGTACTCATGTGGTTGATCACTTCTCATGAGGGAGATGGATATCTTCTAAGAGAGCCTATCACATTACATCAAGTTGGTGAAAGCCAAGTGTTCTTATTGACAACAACCACTGATAATTTTATTGTCTATTTTTTTCTACTATTAAAAATTTTCCATCTTAGTTTACCTTTTTTTGTAAAGTAATATTTGTCTTGTCTTCTTCTATTTAACATCTATGCTCTATTTTATTTTATAAATAAATGTTACATTAATTATATTTGTCTCTTTGCATATCTATTAACTCATGTCTTCCTCTTCTCAATCACATGCGCTTCTTCACTTACTACCTTCATCCAATATTTGTCATTTGTTGTTGGGTTTTAAAATTTTTGAGATTTGATATATAAAAATCAATTATTTCAATTTTTAGTCAAGCTTATTGTTAATGTTGGTAGAATACTAGACGATCTTGACCCAAAACTAGCTTAGGAAGTTGATAGTATCTATCTTTTTTATGAGATAGAGGTCACATTAGTTCATAAACATCTATATGAACTAGCTCCAATGGTGTTTCAATTTATGATGTCCTTCATGCAAATAAAAAAATCCAAATAATACATGATTTGCATAAATCATTTATTGCATTAATTTTAGGAATCCTATTAACTACATTCTTTCTTTTACTATTAGTTTGAAGCTCTGAAAATTTAGATGTCTATACCTATCCCTCTATAGCTATATCTCATCATCAATCTCAACTTTCAATGCATTATTTGTTAAATATTCTTTTTTATTTATGTTCTTAATATCATAATTAAGGACTCAAATTTATATTGATTCAACCCACCAAATCTATTCCACACTTTATGGATCATGCTCTTAGATTTCATTACAATATAGTGGTACAAGTGCTAAACACTAATGCATCAACTAGCCTTTGTAAGATTTCACAACTCCAATTATATCAAGTGTTCCTTATAAATACTTGTTTTAGATTTGTAACTCTATAAAGGCCAAATAAATTAATATATTTATGAATCTTACTTGGCAATATTAGACATAATAAATTAAAAATCAAGAAAAAAATATGTTCTTATTGATTCAACACATTGTCTTTATAATGTAAATTCATTGACTGGAAAATGTGGAAGCACCTTGTGTAAAGGAGAGTTTTGAATGCTTAAGCAAAGACATTTATTATACTATTTATTTATTTTTATCCAAAAGTTTTGAGCACAATGTTCCTTGTATAGTCATCAATTTTTTGAGATTTTTCACAACCATAAAAAGGCTAAAAAATGGTCTCTCAATCTTTAGGATGGATTTTAATGTATAATTTCAGGGAAATGTACCTTTTCATCTTTTTCTTATTAATCTTATAATACCACATGCTTGCAGATCTCTCTCTTCATAGTTTACTCACTTACTAGGAGTAAATACTGAAAACTTTAAGCAATCTTTAAAATTTCCATAAAACTAAATAATTCATGTTAGAATATCTTTAGCATAATCAAATAAATTTCAAGATTGACGAAAATTATGTTTTCTGTCTATTCTTAATTGACTTTTAAGTAGTGCTTTACTATTTTGGATTTAAAACTATATATTTAAGAAGATATATGCATATATATGTATTAAAAACTAGATAATTCATATTACAACATTATAGACATAATGTAGCATTTTCCACCATCAAGAAGATATTGTAACGTTTATAGTATGAAATTACCATGTTACCATTGACTACCTTTTCCTCAATTTGATGATTGTTCTAATGTAGAAAAACATTAATAAATTGTATTAGTCAAGTTGCAACATAATCAAGCATATTCAAGGGTCATGAATACTAAAAAAAATTTGGTGGTGGTGACATGATTTGTATGATCGTCTATTGAAATACTTCACACCTCCATTTCTCAAAGAATAACATGCAAAAAATGTACTTTTACTTTTCTTCTCAAAGTTCCCCTTGTGATGAATGATCACATCAATAGTATTTGTTTGAACATTCATACTTTTTAGATTGCTGGGCATTGAAGCTTTTCTTTGTGCCAGCATTCTTCATTGGAATGATTACCTTTTGTGCAAAATATTGCCCCAATTTCATTACTCTCACTGCCCAACTACATCAGAACGAGCTCGATTGACTTCCATTTTTGTGCAACCAAGTTCCTCCAAGTCAATATTTTGACCACCTCATGTAAATTACCAAGGACCCTTTTTTATAAAAAATCATACTTTTCATCAATCACTAGTTACCTAGCACCTCTTCTAGCAGTCTAAAAAAATTAAATTAAATTAAATTACTATGGGATATCCTTAACTTAAGCAAGGAAGTCAATATGCCATAAAGGGTTACTATATCTATGCATAATGTACTGAACCAAAAAAACTAGAATTGATAGTGAGTCAGAATCAGCTGTTTCTTCTCTTAATGGATTCGAATCAAGATCATCTTCAAATTTTGGTTTCATAAAATATATATAAAAGGACTTATATAAGTATTAATTGATAGATATTTCACTTCATATATGAATCCTAGTATGTATGTATGATGATCCTGGGTGGTGGAAATATTTAGTTTTTACAGGGTGCTTCGTAAAAAATTTCATGGGTTATAAAAAATATAAAATCCCGGTATATTAAGGTAGGAGTGCGATGATAATGAGAGGCGAAATCCACTTTTTATATATATAAAAAAGGTTTTTGTGGCTATTTTCTAGGATAAGAGCTATTATATTATAAGGCACGATGTTTTGACCAGAGGATTTCTGTTTGATGCCTGTCTCGCCTTATCGAAGAGGACTAAGGGGATGGTCTCGGTCTCCTCTGGTGTGGAAGGGAAGATGCTGCTGCTATTCTGAGCGGCTCAACCTCTGCAACTCCTCGGCCTCCTCGAAGCTGGCGGAGCTTCCACAAACTTCGCTAGGGTTCTATCCCACCGTGGGTGCCGAAATCGGAATCCCAGTCCTCACGGCTCCGGAAGCGCCTCTGTAGGCTGTTCCTCGAGCTCTGATGAATCTGGCTGTTCCTTCGCCCATCCCTGCCATTTCGATCTCCATGGGACCGAGATAGTTCTCCTGCTCCCCAATGCCATGGGCTGTTCTTCGGAAGAAATTTCCGAGGTGAGCGACTCAGAGATCGGCGATTACGAAGCCAAATCCTACTCCGAGCTTGAGAATGGAAGGCATCCTGTTAGAAACCCTAATGGCACCTACCGGTGCCCCTTCTGCGTTCGGAAGAAGAAGAAGCAGGCCTACATTCGCCAGCAAATCCTCCAGCACCCCTCCGGCATCGGAGCATCTAACCGGAGAGCGAAGGAGAAGGCAAACCATCGCGCCCTCGCCAGGTACCTGACTACCAGCAATCAGAATCCAGAGGATAACCAGATGCTTCCTCCCAAGCTTCAGGAAGAAGACGACCAGTTCGTGTGGCCATGGAAGGGGATCTTGGTGAACGTTCCCACCGAGGTCGAGGAAGGAAGAGGGCTGAAAGCGGAGCTATCCGATCTCAATCCTCTGAAGATCCGTGCTCTGTGGAACTCCACAGGTCACACCGGAACAGCCATCGTCGACTTCCGCGGAGACTGGTCCGGCCTGAAGGACGCCATGACATTCGAGAAGCATTTCGAGAAGCGATCCAGGGGAAGGAGCGACTGGTGCGACCGCCATGGCTTCCGCAGAGAGGGGATCCACGGATGGATCGCGAGGGCTGAGGACTATAATCTGGTTGGCGCCATTGGAAGGCACCTGAGGAAGAAGGGCGACCTGAAAACCATCGCTGAGCTCTCCAAGGAGGGGTCCGAGAAGAAGGAGAAGCTTGTGGCCGCCTTGATGAACCAGCTAGAAGCTTCCCACACTCGCCTACAGGAATTGGAGAGCAGGTACTCCGAGTGTGCCCTCTCTCTCGATCAGATGATGGAACAGAGGGACAAACTACATCGCGCATACAATGAAGGTTCGATTATATTGAAGCTGGATTTTAGCTTATGATGACCGATCATCTCTATGCTCCAATCCTCGCTGGTTCTTGCGCAATGCTCAGAAAAACAAAACAAAAAATAGATTCCGTTCATGATATCCTTCTTTCTGCTCGCCAGAGATGCGAAAGATACAAGCGTTCGCGCACGATCAATCTCGAAGAGTTCTCAAGGAAAATGAAGATCTCAGAGGGCAGTTAGATTCCAAGAAGAGAGAAGTCGAGGAGCTCATACACTCGCTGATGAACACGAAAAGGTGCCGGCGCAGTCGTGTTTCTTTTTCTGGGTTATATCTGGACGTAATTTATTTTAGTTCTCATGTTCAGTTCTTTCTCAATTCATGCAGGAAGCGATGGAAAATAGTTCGGGTCTACCGGCGACTCAGGAACCAGAGAAGGATGATGAAATTTCTGATGATACCTTGAGAATCGTGGAGATCGGGGATTCCCGGGCTGTTCTTGGTGTTCTTGGGGGATTTGTTTTTTTTGGAGGATGAAGATGAAACCAGAGTGTCTGGAGTCGTCGTTATGATCTGCTCGATCGTTTTGGCTGATGTTTTGGAAAATACAGGTACAAACATCAATTACAACCCTGGGGATTTTCGCTAGTTCCTCTCCAACAGACCCGTCGGGATCCTCCCCCTCCTCCCCAGCCCCACCTGAAACATAGAGAATTTCCCCCAAATCAGCAAAGAAATCTCGGAACACAAATCAAGTGAGCGAGAGAGAGACATAGATATGGATGAGTTACAGGCGAGGAAGAAAGAGGTACCTCCTCGCCGGAAACCTGGCGGCGCCGCACCCGTGGGATCTCTGCAGCGGCGGATCAGACGTCCTTGGCGATTAGGTCTCCGTTGATTAACTCTCGGTAGGCGGCGACGGGCCAGCTGAAGCCCCTGAAGACCAGCTTGGAGGCCAGCGGGACGTCGATGATGATCTCCTTCTGCGTGGGCTTCTTCTCTCCGCGGATGGCGATCAGGTAGCTCCGGCCGACCCAGCCGATCCAGCCGGCGATGTAGAGGAAGAGAAGGCCGGGGGTGATGAACTCGCCCCAGTGGCGTTGGTCGCCGCTGACGATGAGGTGCGGGAGGCCGTCGGCGCCGCAGAGCAGACCGAACTTGCCGTAGTTGTCAAAGCGGCGCTTGGTCCTCTCCATGGTGGCCTTGATGGCGAGCGCGGGGGCGGAGTCGGGATCGTACTTCTTCAGCGACGCCTCCAGCTTCCTCAGCGCCTGCTTCTCCCTCTTGGCGAAGGCCTTGGACTCCTTGCAGGGGGTCAGGCCGGCGATGTCCGCCGCCGCCGGCAGCGGCGCGGAGGAGATCAGGATCGAGGACAGCGCCAGCGCCGCGGAGAACGCCTTCAGGGAGGAGGATGCCGTCGCCCCCGCCGTCGCCTGCTCCTTCTCCGGCGGCACCGCCGAGCAGGAGATGGCCGGCCTGAGCCTCGGCTGGCACTGCAGCAGCGGCATCCTCGGCTTGGAGACCGGCTTCGACAGCGTCGTGATCGGAATGGCCGCGAAGCTCGACATCTTCCCCTTCCTCTTCCTCCGCTCTGCTCTCTGCTCTCTCTCTCTCTTCTGGACTGGTTTGCTGCAGGTGGGAGAGGGGAGAGGGAAATGGGGGCGGAGGGGAGGGATGAGAGTGGGGCAGGAGAGAGAGAGAGAGCGGAGAACGTGGGGAGGCACGTGATTGGTGGAGAGACGAGAGGGAGATAAGATGGAGAGCGCCGCGATGCTGAGCTGGCGAACGGTGATTGGATTGTTGGAGCGCGTGGTCTCGCTCAGCCCCGAAATCCTCTTCTACCCCCATATCTCATCTCACGGCTTGTGTGGTGCGCAGAATCTAAATCGGCTAATAAATAATATCTTGTTTATTTTCAAGTTTTATTACACGTGAAGCCTTCTTAAATCTGTCTTTATATCCAGTGCCCTGAGAAGATTCTTACTTCGGTATGTACTCTTTTTCATGCTTTGAGACCCTCAAAAGATTAAATTATTTTTTTATCTTCTGCCTGCCTGCCACCTCAGATGCGCGTTCTACTGCTTACGTGGCAGAAGTGGGTCCCGTTTCTATTGAACGAGTCACGTCAGTCTTCTGGTTGGGGGTTGAGAGTATTTCTCTCTGTGAAGGTTTTGGGCGAAGGGTGTGCGTGCCGCTGGGAGTCTGATCCCGTGCGGCCATGGAGTTCGAGGTGAGGTTGGTGGGGGGGATTGAGAGCTGCTTCGTCTCCCTCCCTCTGCCTCTCATCCAGACCCTCCAGTCCACTGCCGGGGGCATCCTGCCCCCGGTTCTTGGCCTCGAGCTCCGTTCCCGCGACGGCGGCTGCTGGAAGCTGGCCTGGTCGGGCTCCGCATCGAGGTCGCCCGTCATCGAGGTTGACGATCGCCTTGCCAGCTGTCTTCTCTCCTCTCTCTGTTGTATCCCTTCCGCTCAGGCTTTTTGGGACGTACTTGGGTGGGAAAAGGGGTGTTGGCTTGGCTTGCCTCTCGACTGAGCTGGTTTACCTTTAGGTGGACATGTGCACTTTCGGTACTCGATCTCGTCTTCGAACGCTGGTGGTCCATTAAGTTCCCTTTCCGTTGGTTTATGAGTGGGAAGGGATATTTCCTGAGGAGAAAGCAAAATTGTGCTAGCTAGGGAGCATTGGAGTCCTGATAAAGAATTTAGAGAAATACAGAGACTGGGTGAGATTGGGTTTATATCTTTGCAACTCAGGTCGGCATCATGGCCCCTAGTGGACACTAAGATCCTGACGATCAAAATTCATAGAGCTGGCTTAACTGTGCATGGTCTAGTACTCTCTGTAATGCATCAGTTTTAAAAGAACCTGGAGACTCTTGAGGTTTTGTGAAATAACTGGTGATAAGTTTCAAGTAGTTGCCGTGTGGGAGAAAGATCTTTGTGGTATCGCATCATGGGCCGACAATAGATGGAGTGGATCTGGCTCAAGATGGATGCGTAGTGAGTTAGATGGAAAGCTGTATGTTATTGTACCTGTTGGTGAACTTGACATGATGGAATTGTTCTGAACGAAATCTATAGCACACGTTCAGTTGGTCCTCATTTTCGCATGACGTCAATGAGTTCAGTTGTGACTGGGCTCAAGGTTTTGTGTTTGTTTCATGTTTGACGTTTTGCCCTTTTATGTACGATAACTATGGCTAGATAGAAGAGATAGGGCAACCCAGGTGTCATTTCATTACCTGTTACTGGTTCGTGGATTCAGTACAAGAGACTATTGTTATGGAGTGCTTGTAAAAAAAAAAGAAAAGGCTAGTAATTGTCCGTAAGGTTTTGATTTTGTTATTAGATCTGGGATTCAAAGTTGGTGTAGCTGGGTTTGAATGATAAATAAGAGCATAATCGGATATGAAGATCAGGGTGAGTGTTTGACATGATTGTGCCATTCTTTTCCGAAACCATAGACCAGACCGTTACAGATTGGTATGAGCTCAATTACGTAACCACTAAGACCATCTGGGCTGAGTGAACTTCGGTACTTATTTTTATAAACCTCATGAAAAAAGTTGGTTGTATCAGCTGAGTGGTTGGTTTTGAGCATGGGCAACTTGTATTGGTAACATGAATGGTGACTGGCTAGGTGATACTAACGTCAATGCCACTGTGGAACCATCATTTCAATTTCAGAGTTGTGAGAGGCGGTCAGCAGCTACACTTGGTGCCTTTATGTCGATAGTGTCAGGATCTCAAATAATATCGATGTATAGTTGAATAAATACCTGTAAAAACAGGAAGATAAAGCTAATTATTTTCTAACCGCAGCTTAGATAACAACTATCTGAGAGAAAATATCATTTATCCTCGTCATAATGTGACATACAACGTCAGGATACTTGCAAAAACATTCATTCTTTTAATAAAAAAACTTATGATGTTGGTGGGTGACAGTATATTGTTGTTTAAATGCTTGCAAAATGTTTGATTCTTTTTGTAATAAGCCATAGGACGTTGGTGAGCAGCTCGCTTAGCTGGGAAAGTAATTTCTTGAAATCGCTTCTCATCACCTGGAGACCAGCTTTTATCTTTATTTCTTGAATCAGTTTTCGGAATTTGACTTCATTCCCTTGATTCCAATGTATTGTTGTTTACATTAAACACCATGCTGTGGTTCCATGTTCTGTTATTTTTAATATTCTTCTCCGGACTAAGGAATTCTGACGTGAAATTATTAGGATCGTTGACCTGAACATCGAAAAGTAAAACAGAAACAATCTACATTCAAAGATATTCATTCTTCTTTAGAATCAGTGTTGATTGAAAGAGTAGATTAGTATCCCAGGCTTCACTGTGAGATTTTTTTCTCTCCTTTTACGTACCTGTTTGATGTCTTATTCTATCATGCCAGTGGAGGAAGATGACTTAGTTGAGATAACGTTTTTTTTTCCATGTGATATGCCACTGTAGTTGTTGGCGTGCATCATTATGATTTGAGGGTAATAGTCTGTATTGTTGTATCGTTTCCTCAATAGAATGTATTTTTACCACTTTCTATGAGAAACTGATAGAAGAAGAATAGAAAAAGAGAGACTTGCTCAGATTTGGGGACAAGGTTGATCCGTTTGCATACAGTGTCAAGGACCTTATCTGCACGGTTGATGATGAGGGGAGAACGGTTGTCTGTTACCTCTGCTTCTTGTTGAGAGTTAAGACGGTAGTCAGTTATACACTGGCAATCGCCAATATGGCTGTCCCTACATTCGCCTTGCAATAAGAAACTTTGATGACTATATGTTCCCCTATAATTTGGTCTATAGCAATGTCAAGTTATGTATGCAGACAATGTGCTTCATATGTTCGGTGCAGTAGATTAATATCTGATTAGGATGATGTTGTGCCTCAGATGAATTTAAGCTATCATACATTCGTGAACCCCATTCTGATGAAACTGATTGCCATTTATACCTTGATACAGGTTTCTAAGCATTTTGCGGAGTGCATTAGCTTAGTGGATCATACCAATGTTCACGTAAAAGTGGTTGCCAATTTACCAAGAGCTGTACTAGTCACCATAGAGCCTAATGATGAAGATGACTGGGAAATATTGGAACTTAATTCAGAACTTGCTGAAGAAGCAATTTTGAAGCAGGTTTGATTACTTATTGATTCTGTTGACTTGGTTTCTAGTTTGTTGCCCAAATTCCATGTTATGTTGTTTTGGCCATATGTATGACCATTTTGTTTTCTTTTTTCTTCTGTCGTAATATGAGGCATTCTATTTAAATAAAAGCTAGATTATAAACATTACTAATTTTGTCTGATCATTGCATTTGTAATAGATGTCATAAGATACTGATGAAAATGTTATGTGGTCTATTTATCATTTACGTGGTCAATATATCTCCTTGCCTGAATTATGTACTATTTCGGAACTTCAGCTTATACAGAGCTCATAAGAACGTTACATTGCCCTTCAGATTCAATTGTGGGAGTTGATTTACTATATGCAGATTTTTTTTCTCAGTTCAGAGTAGCTCTTACAAGTGGTAAACATCTGTTTCCATGAAGCTTTTAGTCGCTCAAGAGCAGTTATTACAAAGACATTTTAACTAAGTTACCACATCGGAGATAGATAACTTGGAGCTTATTGGATTGTCTCACTGCTGTGTCTGTGTTCCATATGGTCTTAGAGTATTGAGGGTTGAGTATGAGAGAGCAGTCACCGAATGCTTGCCTAGATGTGGATTAATGTTACTTTGTGCAATTAAGACACAAGTCATATGGATGCTTTGGCTGTAGTTGCAACTTGGTCCCTCTGATTTCATTACCCCATTTCTTCTTTGTTTAATCGTAACCTTTATTGGATTCACTTGTAAATGATCGGTTATCACTCTGCATGCTGAGAGTTGAATACTATGTTGCCAATTGAACTATTCCTTGCTTCATTTGTTCTGGAGTCATACCTGATGAGTTATGTCCTCTCGTTGGTTCTAAGCATGGTGTACAAAATCGGCTGGTTCTGATCTTGTTGTTGAGATGTACTTAATAACATGTATACCTTACATGTTTACATATATGTCCTCATTTACCTTTCATTTCGTGTTACATTAGTGTGTCTAGAACCCTCTAGGGATCTGGTATAAATACTGGATCCCACTCTCCTTGTAAACAGTTTTTTGATCAATAAAGTTTGAGTTCTTCCACGAGTGCTTGGTGCCTATCAGAGCTCCAGATTGTGTGTTATCTCAACTACATGGTATCAGAGCCATTCTAGGGTTTTAAACCCTATCTTTCAGCACTGTCACAGTTGATGCTGCTTTGTCGGCGTTCTCTCCATCGTCTGCTGGAGTTGCAGATGCTGTACACTTCCGGCAAGGGATCTTCTCCTTAGTTGTGTTTCTTTCAGAGCGAATCCAGGTGTGATTGCTCCATTTCTTTGCTTCCGCACTGATCTACTGGTATGTTACGGTTCTTGCACCGTTTTTCCTTGTCTCTATTGAGATTTGTTCACAAATATGATTTTTTCGTGAATTTGGACATCCTTTTTAAATGGAGAATGTGGGAGACAATTCTTCATCATCTGTGGGGGATCCAACCTCCACAAGGGAAGTTAATCTTGGTCCAAGTGGTCCAAGATCACTCATTGAACTTCCTGCAATGCCTGTAGAGTTCAAATTGACTGGATACAATTTGATTCAATAGTCAGAATATGTTCGAGAGGTATTGATTGGAAGAGAGGATGTTACATCATCTGATTGAGGGAAAACTAAATCCATTGTCTCGAGAATTTTGTAGATGGAGAGAAGATGTATTAATCAAAACCTGGCTTTGGGGAACAATGATTCCCCAAATTAGCTGAGATTTTTTCCTTCTATCTACAGTCAAAGATATGTGAGAAATAGTTCACATGAAATTTTCACAAAGAAATAATGAGGCACATTTATATGAACTTGAGACAAAATCTATGTCCACAATTCAAGGAAATAAATCTGTGATGGAATATATAAGAGAGTTGAAAATTTTATGACAGGAAATCGATTATTTATCTCAACATTGATACAGAAAAACCTACAGAAATTATTATCCTATGACATTTTATAGAATGAAGAAGAGTTAAAATTTTTGGCTGGACTTAATTATGTTTTTGATCAAGTCAGACAACAGATTTCAAGTCGTGAAAGGAAATGTGATTTGGATGAAGCTATTTTATGACAATACTGCATTTATGATTAAACATGGAGAAATTATGAAGAAAGCCTCAGATCAAGTTAAACAGCCTCAACATGGCCAAGGAAGAAATCAGAAGACTGATTTTCGTGATAATCTATGGTGTACATATTGCAGGAAATCTCGTCACACTAGAAATAGGTGTTATAAACTACATGGTAAACCACAAAATTTTGGCACTGAAAAATATGGCAGTTAATCACATTTGGCAGCAGGATTACTGACTAGTCAGTCTTTAAATTCCCAAATCAATCAACATTCTTCTTCTCCTCAGATTGAAGATATAGAGCGACTTTGAATTAAGTTAGAAAAACTAAAGTTGATAGTGACACAGTTCTTATCAATTCAGCATGGTATGTTTCACCACTCTCTTAGAGTTAGAGTCTCTTCTAGAGATATTTTTAATAATTTGGTAGTGGACTCAGGAGCAACAGACCACATGACCAACTCCCCCAGCCTTTTCACCAAATACAACCCATGTCCTAGTGACAGAAAAGTGACTACTGTAGACGGATCCTTTCTAACCGTCGCAGGTATAGGAGACATTAGACTTGAACCTCTAGGGGTTCTTACTAATGTTCTTCATGTCCCCAAGTTATTTACAAACCTCATTGCAGTTAAGAAACTTGTTAGAAACTCACCTTATCGTGTCTTTCTTTATGATGTCTGTGTCATATTTGATAAGGTACATCATCAGAGGATTGGAATTTCTAGAGAGTGTGAAGGTCTTTATCTTCTAGAAGGACTAAGCTAAACACATCTAGTGGAAGCGGATCAATCTCTAGAACCTCTAGAAGATGTCCTTAAGATACGATTACTTCACCAACGGATGGGTCATCCATCTTTTAGCACTTTGAAAATAGTTTTTCTTACTATATTTCGAAAGGTGTCATTAGACACTCTTAAATGTAATGTGTGTGAACTTTCTAAACACACACGTACTTCATTTCAATCTCAAGGGGAAAGGAGTGATGTGCCATTCTTCTTAATTCATAGTGACATTTGGAGACCATGTCCGATTAATGACACTCGTAGTAATAAATGGTTTGTCACTTTCATTGATGATTGTACAAGATGTATGTGGGTCTTCCTTCTCAAACAAAAATCTGATGTGTGATGTTCTGAAATATTTTTGTGCCATGATAAAAAACTAGTTTGGCACTAGTATTAAAAATAAAAAATTCAGATCTAATAATGCTAAAGAGTATTTTAGCGAAAATCTGAATTTATACTTCCAAATAAAGGGCATCATACATGAATCCTCCTGTGTCTATACCCCACAATAGAATGATTTAGTTGAAAGAAAAAATCATCATCTTTTAGAAGTCACTCGATCAATTTTATTTCAGCATCATATACCTAAAGTTTTTTGGGGGGAGGCTGTTCTAACAGCCACATACCTCATCAACTGATTACCATCCAGAATCTTAGGCTTCCTCAGCCTGTTAGATTCATTAGCCAAGTTTTTCCCAGACCATCAACTTAAAACTAGGCTAGAACCTAAGACATTTGGTTGTGTCTCTTTTGTTCACATTCATAATCAAACCAAAGGCAAACTAGAACCGAGATCACTTAAATGTGTATTTCTTGGTTATGCTGCCAATCGAAACGGGTACAAATATTACCACCCTCCTACAAAAAAAATTATTTCATTGGATGTTATTTTCATGAATCTGATTCTTATTTTAAAGAATCTCCATCCAGTGATCAACATCTATTTTCCACAGCTCATATCGATCAACATGTAGCTTCTTCACTCTTGTCTTCAGCTGGCAACCTTTTCATTCTCATTTCAGTCCCTGAAATACCCAGTCCTATATTGAATTCGCTTCTTGAAAACCTAAGGTTTGGCAAGGTTTATTCTAGGCGAGGGGAAATTCATGATTCACCAAAAATCTAAGATTCTGATTTGAGCTTAGAAAATATACAACCATTAACATCTCCTTCATCTGATGATCCTGCAGTCCTACCTCATGAAGCACTTCTCATTGCCCTGTGGAAATCTATAAGGGAGTGTACAAAAACACCCTTGTACCCAGCTGCCAATTTTCTGTCTTATCACAGACTTTCTTCACCCTATCAATCATTTATTGTGTCCTTAGACACCACTGCCATTCTAAAAAATCTCTCAGAGGCTCTATCTAATCCTAAGTGGAAACAAGCCATGGATGATGAGATGAGAGTTCTTGCAAAAAATCAGATATGGGATCTAGTGGAATTACCACGAGATAAGGAGACTATTGGTTGCAAATGGGTGTACGTTGTGAAATATAAATCGGATGGTTTGATCGAGAGGTATAAAGCCTGGCTGGTGGCTAAGGGTTATACACAAGTATATGGAATAGTTATCAAGAGACTTTTGCACCAGTGGCCAAAATGAATACAGTTCGTTTTTACTATCCTTAGCAGCAATTTTCAACTGGAATATTTAACAATTTGATGTTAAAAATACATTCTTGCGTGGTGATTTGGTTGAAAAAGTCTACATGACTCTTCCACCAGGATATGAGGGTAATCATTCATCTAATCTTGTTTGCAAGTTAAAGAAATCCCTTTATGGCCTCAAACAGTCTCCACATGTATCGTTTGGAAGGTTTACAGTAGCCATGAAGAAACTGAATTACAACCCAAGTAATGCTGATCACACATTATTTTTTAAACACTCTTCTTTAGGGGGAGTTATAGTTCTATTAGTTTATGTTGATGATATTATCATCACAGGAAATGATGAAGGGGAGATCAAAAACTTGAGCAATTGTTTGGCCCAAGAGTTTGATGTCAAGACTTTGGGACGACTCAAGTATTTTTTAGGAATCAAAGTGGCACATTCTTCTAAAGGCATTTTTATTTCTCAAAGAAAGTACATAACAGATTTGTTAACTGAAACAGGGAAATCTGTGTGTAAACCAGCCAAGAAACCTATTGATCCAAATCAGAAATTGTGTATGACAAATGAAGAAATTTCTATTGACCGTGAGATGTATCAACGTCTCATTGGCCGACTACTTTATCTAACACACACCCGACCGGATATCTCATATGTAGTGAGTATATTGAGTCAATTTATGCATCAACCTAAAGAGTGTCATTTACATGCTGCCTACTGAGTGCTACATTATTTGAAAGGCACACCAGGAAAAGGGGTTCTTTTAAAACGAAGTGGAAAGGTAGAGGTTGGGATGTTTATAGATGCTGATTATGCAGGCTCAACGATTAATCGAAGGTCAACCTCCGGTCATCTTACTTTTGTTGGTGGCAACCTTGTCACTTGGAGGAGTAAAAAAACGGAATGTAGTTGCTTGATCAAGTGCTGAGGCTGAACTTAGGGCACTTGCTCAAGGAATATGTGAGTTACTTTGGGTCAAGAACTTACTTGATGAGTTACAAATTCCTTTATTCAGTCCTATGAAGATTTATTGCGACAATAAGTCAGCAATCAATCTAGTGCATAACCCAGTACAGCATGACTGTACCAAACATGTGGAGATTGATCGTCATTTCCACATGTTGCCCCAATGTGATGCTGTTCTCTGTTTTACTGAGGTAGAAATACCGAATCTATTTGATATTAAGCTCACTGAAATCTCGTGGAGTAGTTATTTCTTATCTGATTACTTGTAATGAAGTTATGTTTTCTGATTTTCTGATTTGTACACTCGTAACCATCATAATGATTTTCAGACATCATAATGGTAGATATTCATCATCCAAATGATTAACTGAATTATTGTCTTATATCTGTTTTCTGCATTGTATTAATTTCTATTCATTTCATTATCGATTAAAGCAGATGTGCATGCCTTTTTGCGAAAGCTCTTTTCCTCTTTTCTGTACCATCATGTCAATCTTTGAAAATTGCAGGTAGGCATTGTCCATGAAGGGATGAGATTCCCTTTATGGTTGCATGGTCACACAGTCGTGTTATTCCGAGTCATATCAATGTCTCCTGAGAAATCGGTAGGTAAGATTTATTCTGCTGTTTTCTGACATATATTAACTTCTTTACTCCTACTTCTACCTTGCCATGATATTGTTGTTACATTCTCTTGTCAATGTTTGTGTAGACTGACAAAGATTGAACGCCCACCTTCTGTCACAATGAACTTATTTAATAGTCATCCTCTTATTTTTTCACCCTGCTGCTTGTTTGCCACCTTAAGAAGAAACAATCGTTACACATTATATATCTTGAGTTGACACCATTATTGCAATGCCATATTCTTATCAATTGCTGAAAATGTGAGCCCTTTGTGTGGTGTTTGGAACCCAATTGTTGTATGAACTGAGGAAAAAGATGATTATCTATTTATGCCTCTCCACTGTCTTCCGTATTATCATTTTTTATTCTGTCATGTTTTGTAAGCAAATCATTCACGAGTCAAAGTTCTCAATTATTACTTGATTGATCATTTTCTATTTCAATCGGTATTACTTGATTAAATCCTTTATGGAATCATTAAAAGACATGTTCTGTAACCATGAGGCTGTTCCGTATGATATTTGAAACCTTTGAATGTAATGCAGCTTTCCAGTTCCTATAGATTTTCACATTTGTTAAGTAGTTCATTGTTGCATTACTCAAGGTCGTGGATCTTATTTGATAAGTTGTGCCTGTATTTCAGTACAACTTGTGCCTGGGACTGAAGTTGCAGTAGCACCAAAAAGGCGCAAGAACAGTATAGATTCATTTCAGGACATCAACAAATCACCTTCTACAAAAGAGCAGATGAGAACAAAAGGCCTACTACGTGTTCAGGCCCAGACAAAAAAGATTTCTCATAAGTTTGAGTTTAAAGATTTTGAGTTGGGGGTTGTTCTTACATGTGCTGCTTTTATTCATCCAGAGACAGCAAGAAACTTGTCATTTGATAATCTTAAAGTGGTTAAAATATTTCCAAGATTGTCAATGAACGAGAAAATGTGGAATCTCAAAGATGGTATGTCAGGAAAAGGCAGTAATTCTGTTGCAGACAGGATCTTGGAGGCTTCAGCTGGTAGTAAGGGTGCTGACTCTGGAAGTGTAACAGTAAATCTTTTGTTTTCAGCCACAGTGGCCAAAGGACATATAATGCTTCCTGAGTCTCTTCGTCTTTTTCTGAAAGCAGAGATTTGTTCATGTAAGTTCGTTTTCGAAGCACTACCAAGACAGAATTTAACATCTCATTTTTAATTTTTGTCTGCATGGTTCAATTGTTGATTGAAGACCGTAATGAATGACATCTTAAGTAGTATCTCACATCTAACTTCTATATGATATTTTTGCGTTTAACTTTCGTTTTTTTAACGACCCAATTAACTAGAACTGAACATCATATTGGATCTGAGTTTAGTCTAAGCATATAATGTTTTTGTGTCGATTATTAAATTCACGCTTTTACCGTTAATCATTGTTATTTATAGGGGTTTATGTCAAAGGATACACGACTAGTCCAAGGAAAGATGCGCCATTCTTGACGCTTTCTCCATGCCGTTTCAAGTTTTCTGGGAGGAATAAATCTGCTGAGAACAATTCTACTCTCGTGCCAGATAGGTACAAAAATTCTAGAAGTAATAAACTACCACAGGATGTTGTTTCACGCATCAGTGCAGACACTATAGATTGGTCACTTCATGAGGAGTTAATCAATTCTCTTTCTCGTGAATCATGTAACCAGAGTTCTCAAGTGACTGGTTCAAAGCCAAATGAAATTAGATATCTTATATGCTCATGGCTTATTGGACAACTAAAGGCAATCGCGTCTCATGCTGGTGAAACGAGTATTAGCTCAGTGGTCCTATCAAGTGAAACACTATTTCACTTCGAGTTGATGAGTAATGATTTTGCTGACAGAAGTCATCAGTTGTCAGCTGGTGTTCCCCTTGGGAATAGTACTGGAGACTCAACTGTCAAACTCCTTTATCTACTGACAGCTGCTTTCGAGGGGTCTTCTCTTGATGGACTTCAAAACTGTTTTGAGCTTTCCCTTAATTTTGATGCCTGTGAGATTATATCTCCTCGAGATTTGCACCTAGCTCCGGGGAAATTGGAGTTAGGTGAACCTGTTTCTCTCGACACCATTGTAGAACCTTCTTCTGCAAGAAGTTTCGGTTGCACCGTTTCATCCTTGAGCTGGATGGAGGAGCCTATCTCTCACTCTATTGGTCGTAAGTTTTCATTCTATTTTGGTGCTTCTAGCCTTCAATGGCACTTATGTACTTCTGCTAATTTATTAGATGCAGATTTTCTTGGGAGCACTGCATCAGTAAGTTTATATATCCATTGATTTTCCTGCAGGATTGACAACTCTGCTATCTCCGTCATCTCAGAAATTATTAGACACATTTCATCTCCCTCTCCCTGGACATGTCCTCATACATGGACCCCCCGTAAGCCTTTTAAATCTTACTAATGTTGTTCCCACTTGATTTTCCTTATTCTGTGACATTATTGTTCGTCTCTTTCCGTGAATAAAATAGTTACATTTTTAAACATTAAGCTGTATTTGCAATTTAAAAGTAAAAAAGTTACCAGGATATATATATTCCTACTAAAGAATATTACCAAATATCTTGCTATTTTCTTCTACCGAGTGCCATTTACATATTGCAAACCATGGTATTATTCCTGTTTGAATTGCTATTAGTGTTGCCATATAATGGAACCAAGGCAAGCAAGACAGCTGTCAGACCTTGTCACTACTTAAATTTAATTATATTCCTGAATTCAGTGAAGACATTCTTTTTTGATAAGCACAAAGAAACGTTTTACAGCCAATTTTTTGTCCGATATGATCTGTCAAACCTTACCAGTGAAGGATGCAGCAAATGGTTTCTGACAGTAATTGTCATCTGGCGTACCACCTTACTATTGAGGAATACGTCCCCTCAAAACTTATCTCCATCAGACGCCTCATCTTTGATTATCTTACTGAGTCGTATTTGGCTCTTTGGATTTCTAGATGGGTGCTAATGACAACACTAGATTCTTACCAGGGACTGGAGAGGTGTGGGTGACAGGGAGCATTTCAAAAAGTGCATAATGACCTTGGCCCCACTTTTCCTCAATAGTGAATATCAATGTATAATATAAGGCCATTCCTCAACTAAAATATGTCATCATATTGTAGCTGTTTCAAAGTAGTATATAGGAACTTGTTCAATGTAAATAAAATTAAGGAAACAATTGAACCGAGAATATTATCATACATATAACGAGTCCATAAATTTACATTATTTCTTACGGTGGTATCTATATAATCATACCCATCAGAAGGGTGCAAGTCGACCAAGGATGAAACAGAAGTGCAAAACTGGTTTCAAGATGCTAGATATCTACTATCACGTTGTTTTTCACCACATATGCTACTATCAATACTAATCACTCATCAAGTAGGGCAAGAGAAATTAAAGAGGGATTACCAAGTCAGTTGGGGCACAGACTCAAAAAAATCTGACGTGTTGTGTCAAGCATCTATCTGGTGATTAAGGATGTGTCGGTCATGTTCTCATAAATTGTGGCTATGTTATCATGATATGGTTAAATATACGGACATAGTGGTAATCATAGTTGTAAGAATCATACTGCGCATAAATATGTCAAAAATTATCTTTCAGGTCATATTGCGGATTGTAACTATACAGTAACCACCATAATCATAAAATGATCATCATAATAAGTATAAGTGACATAGCAACTTGATGATCATGCAAATAATATCCCGATAATATTCTTATTCTTTTCTTGGCCATACCTATATCAACTAGGAAGCATAACTTATGCCATCTAGTAGATAACTCCTAGTTAGTTGACACCACTGACTTAAATCATATCATTCCATCACATTATCTGGTAAGAAGGTCGAGCATTTCGAGGCATTGTTCTTTTGTGTGTTGTCAAGAGTTCTCATCTTACCCCATGGATGCACAATCGAAAACTGCTGTTATTCCTGTTTGTTTTAATTGGAAAAAACATTTTATGGGAGTTCACGTTGAGGTGTTTAATCACTGGAGAGGACTGATCTACCCTATTGGTCAGGAAAGTTTTTCAGATGGTATGCCTCTAGGAATTACTAGTACTTTAAACTTTATTGCATTATATAAATAGAGCTAAAAAAAATCAAAATATAATGTAGTAGCGGCATAACAATGCTAGAAAAAAAAACGAAAATCATGAGTTGCGTTATGTGTTCAGTTGAATCACATATTGGCATAAATCTGAGCACACAGGCGGCTGTTAACATGTGGAATTCTTTCAAGAGGTATTGTCATGATAATGATTCAAGGAAATACAGTTGTTCTGATAGCTGTTTGCCGCTCCATATGAGACCTCCATAGAACATGTAGAAAATAAAACTTACACGATGTAGATGTATTGTATATTAACTGTTTGATTCATGTTGAACTATTTTAAGCCGTGTGCGTTCAAGTGTGGTAACTCCCTCATTACTTGAATATTTAGAGAAGTACACACCATCATTTTTACAGATGAGCCTGTCTTGCTTGTCTGATAGTTGAATGGACTTGGAGAGTCCTTCCAACTGTGAAACCAACCGTGCCCCCCTAAACCAAAGTGACGTACCATAATAAAGCATCTGTCATGGCATGTTGTTGTGCTCCAATTCTGCAGAAACTCATCAGAAATAATTGTTAAAATTTTCTTATGAGCCATGGAATCATACTAACAAATCTCTTCTGTTGAGAAATCACAATGTATGCATATGATAGGCATATAGAAACCAAGAGAAAGTAGAAATTTGAGTTTTTGATACCTATGCGTTCCAGGAACTACACCAACGAAGAGAAATGCTTGTTGCAAGTGTGTTGGACATGCTCTCTAGCTGTAGTGCATCTTAAAAACTTTTTCGACCCTTACCCTTGTGCACACTTCAGCCTTCAAGTACATTCGTATAAATATAGAGATAATGTTTGAAATATCATCTGGTTCTCCAAGATATGTTCTTTTATGGGTGTGTAATTTTTCCAGTCAGGCCTCTTGATAAGTTACTTGTGAGGAAATAAAAGTTTCTTGCAAGGAGAGTTTACTTTAAAAAAAAACATATTCGGTCATCCACTTTTTTCTTGGAGCTCTAGAAGTACATGTTGCCTTTCTAAAATTTTGCGGTAGAATGAATGTCTTATAATTGAGCACTTCAACTGGAAGCTCAGTAGAACACAATTCTAGATTTTCTTTCTTCTAGTTAGCTTCATCCAACATCAAAACTCTAGACTTTAGCATCATCAGTTGCCCTTCCTCACTGAAGAATAGGGTTGATACTGAAGAAAACAAACTGGTTTTCGGTCTCATGTCTCTTTTATTTCCTGTGTTGAGCACTACAATAATTATGATTATTTAGTTGTGAGAAAGTAGCCTTTGGATTCTCTATTAAAATCATACCGTGATTTTCCCACAGTTCTGGTCCAGTAAGGAAGTTATCTGCTATGTGCAATTGATTCTATTTTTTCAGTAGTTTTTTTCAGTGTAAAAGGTGAGAATTTGTATTTATATTGTGCTATTATATTACCTTATTGTTTAATTTTCAAGCTGCTTTGGTAATCGTCACTTTGCTGCTATGTTGTCAGGGTTCTGGAAAGACTTCGTTGGCCACAGCAATTGCAAAGTACTTTGAAGAACATGAGGAGATCTTAGCACACATGTATGAGAGCAATTTAATATGTCGCGTTCATGCTGGGTTCTTAATGCCTTCATGAATTTCTATTTTTACCAATGCTGGACATCTACCATTGAATTCATTCGAATTGTTTAAGAAACTGTACAGATACCTCTGTAAACGGTAGCAGTTGAATGGCGAAGAGTCTGCAAGACCGTAATGCCTTCATGCTGTTCAATGTTTTAGCATCACATGCCCACAAAGAAAGAAAAGTTTGTGATAAAAAATGTGGAAACCGTTAGAGAAAAAAAAACTGATTGGCCTTGCTTATTTGCATACTTCATGCCCTGCCATAGAGGACACGATGAATCTGGTAGATATCTCAATGCATCAATTCCACTATAAAATGATAAATCTGACTCATTCATCCTTCTTATTTTTCTACCTCCAAGTTTCTTATGTCCGTGGGAGGAAAACATGATACTTTCTTTGTTCCTGTTTGGCACCTGTCTTCCATCACATATTTATGAGAATAGATTGATTTCCCAAGCAAAGCTATTATTGGAGTCGGTATTAGTGATCTTTTATCCCGGTCAGGATGTCCTTACCTAAATTTTTTTCAAGTGACAATGCATCTCTTGTAATTGTTGCATCTTCGCATGGTGGACTTCGTGTGACTGTGGATTTAGACAAAGTGTAATCATGTAGAGAGTCTGTGTTCATGTGTTCTTGTTTCTCTTCTCTCTCTGTGTCAATTTTCTCTTTTTTTCTTTTATGGATTGTAGGAGGGTTCCTCTTCTGACAACCATTCCATGTGGTATCTTCTTTGAGCCCAGATATAAAGAGAAGATTTTAACCACGTTGAGGGCAATGCCAGGGTCATTCATTTTAGGAGTCCTCTCTCTAGATCTAATTCATTAGCTTATAAATATTCATTTATTGAACTTATTTAAGCGTAATAAGAAAAAAGAAATGTGTTACATTAATTTGACTTGATGAAGATTTTTCTGGCAGAATATTCATAAGTTGTTCCAAACTTTCTCTGGAGAAGGACCAGACAATTCGACAGACGCTCAGTGTCTACGTATCTGAAGCTCTTAGTCATTCTCCATCGCTGATCATATTTGATGATCTCGACTTTCTATTTTCTTCCACCGAGCTTGAGGGGTCTCAGCCATCAAATGCAACCGTTCCTCTTATGGAGTTTCTTACAGATGTCATGGATGAATATGGGGTATTTAAATGAATCTTTCTACATGTTATGCACAACATGAAAGTCACTTTTTGTGCACTTTGTTTTGACTTGTCAACGTAGGTTGCATTAATGTTTGTTCTGATGCGTATTATAATCAGGAGAAAGGACAAAATGCTTGTGGGCTCGGCCCAATAGCGTTTATGGGTTCAGCTCAATCGATTGCAAAGCTACCCCAGTCCCTATGCTCCTCAGGTACAACCTTTGTTCTCCAAAAAATTGGTTTCGTTAAAGCCTGATGTTTTTTTTGCCTTTTCCATTCATATTATGTGTGAATTCATTTGACACCAGGGAGGTTTGATTTTCATATCCAATTGCCGGCTCCTGCTGCGTCTGAGCGTGGAGCAATCCTAAAGCATGAACTCCATAAACGTTCCTTGGAATGTTCCGAGGATATCCTTTCTAGCATTGCTTCCAAATGTGATGGATATGATGCATATGACCTGGTATTTCTTACACAAACCAATTCAATAATTCAATTATTAAGGAATCGTGTAACCTCACATCTAGTATGATTTTTGTTATTATATAATATTATTCATGTTGGAAGTTATTGTACCGTGCACACTATGTTACTTTGCTGAAGTATAAAGTCCTTCATGCTCATATCATTTTTTTGCATCCAAATATCTCTTCTCTGTGCTAGCTTCATTTTGTTCCCTTTCTTCACCTACTTTTGTAACTGTTTAAAATTCGTCCATGATCTCCCCTGCCTTCACTTTCACAGTTAAACGTCCACGTCCTCAGCTGGTGCATAAAGTCATGTTAGAACTTGAGCAAAGGTTTAGTTGCATAAGCAAAGGTTTTCTAACCCCATGTAGGGTAAAGTTGAAAGGTTCTGTGCTGACTATATTCCTGTTTCATTACACTTTTTTGATAACGTGGGCTTCATACAAACTCTGTTTCCCCATGTCTTATTATCAATAATGTCTAAAATTGGAAGAAAATGAGTGGGAGCTTGTGTTACAGTTTACTTGAACAAACTCAGCGCAACCTGAATTGTCTGTATCGCTTAAGACTCAATCAGTTGTGATATGCATGGAGATATCGTGAGTCAGATTGAGCATAACAGGAAATAGGGTTAGGATTTGGACGTATCAGGAAGACTTACTGGTTCTCATCAGTTGCGATTCGTATGATTCTGGTGTCTTCCCTTGTTGGCATGGAGTCTACTAATTCTGATCACAATTTTCTTAAATGAGAGATTTATAGGTTTATCACTTTTTCACAGGCTTTTCTATCCTTCAAAAAATAATTGAAAATCTATAATATGTAGAACATGTACTTTATTGATGCAACTCTTAGTTTCTGATTTCTTGATCTACAGTGTAATCACCCATGAGTTTCACCGTTATATGTATAATTCTGGTCATAGATGCTTTATGTTTTCAAGGCAGCAAAAGACGCATTTCATTGGAAAGAAAACATACAAAGTTTCTATCTCATCCCTTCCATAAGAGCAGTAATGTTTCCGTTTATTCTGGCATACCGGCAGGAAATTTTGGTTGACCGGGCTGTTCACGCTGCAAGCCGTCGGTTTTTGCTTTCACATTATGTGGCTCAAGAGGATGAAAAACCTACGTTAGTAACTGAAGACTTTGTGCAAGCAATGAATGGCTTTGTTCCAGTTGCCATGCGTGGTCTCACCAAACCTGCTTCTGAAGGTGGTCGTAGTGGTTGGGGGGATGTTGGAGGGCTTAATGATGTTCAGAAAGCTATCCAAGAGGTTATATTTGTCTCTTTCCTTAAATAGACTGCTTAGGTAGTTTTATTTGAAGGTAATAGTATTGCCATAATTAATTAAAAAGTAGGAAATAAAAATGGATACTTTGATGTGCCATATTATATGATTGGTATCTTTCTGACGAGGTGTTACTATTTAACTGTGTTTTTCCTGATAAGGAAAATTTCCCTTAAATAATGGAATTTTCGTTATGTTTATTTATTTTGAAAATAAATTTTGCTTGTTCGACCAATCAACTAAATGGATAGCACATTCGGTAAAGCAGCGTTCATTATCTGAATCGGCCAAACCCTCCCTTGCGGATATCAGTCTCTATGATAACTGGATTTGGACATTTTTTTCCCCTACTTAAGATAGCAATAAATTACTTTGCTTAACTGAGAGAGTGAATTTTTTGGACAAGATATGTGCGGAGATTTTGGCAGCTCAGCTATATTCTCAAATAAGAAGCCAATACATTAATAATATAAGCATCAATATATAATGAAATGCAAGTAGAAAATCTAAATGCACGTTTAAAATGTCGATTGAGGTCAGATCACCTATTTACTTCTGTTAAAGTTAAAATGCAATGAGGGTCCAAACCAACAGATGTCTTTTCTGTCAGGATCGCAAAATCTATTAATGTTCGCCCCATCTCTTCATAAGCAAATAAAGATTCAGGTAACATATAGTTTACGACTGGTACATTTCGGTTCCTTATTGAAGGTCAGAATTTTCGAACTTCAAGGAACAATATCCCATCCAGCTATTCAGAGGGGTTTTTTGGTGGAGTCGATCCTTTTTTATGTGCCTGGCATAGAACTCTTTTGCAACTATACAGAGACATTGCTTTCTTGTGGTTCTCTTTTGGATTATGTTTCAAGTTATAGCTGCATTGCTAGTAACCCTAGTATTCTATACAAACCTAACTTCTTTATGTATATATTCAATATCCCGTAATTTACCTTCATATGCCTTTCCTCTTTTATCCTTATTAGGTTTATCTTCCCTTGATAGGATTTCTGGTCTCTTTAATTGTGCTCTGCTTTTTGTGTTAAGTTTGATATCTTTATTTTCCCCTTTTTCGTTTACAGATGGTAGAATTTCCTTCAAAGTTTCCAAATATCTTTGCGCAAGCACCTTTAAGGATAAGATCGAATGTCCTCTTGTATGGACCTCCTGGATGTGGTAAAACGCACATTGTTGGTGCTGCAGCTGCTGCGTGTTCTTTAAGGTTTATATCTATCAAAGGTCCTGAACTGCTGAACAAATATATTGGTGCCTCTGAGCAAGCTGTAAGATATCAAGCTAACCTAAATTGATTCTAAAAACTGGACAACCATGATCATAGTTTCTCATGTTGGAACTCCTCTGGTGAATATTTGTACAATTTGGCTTGATCCATATCCATCAATATATTCCATTCATTTTTATCTCTTTTTTCTTGTTTTTCAGGTAGTTCAGTTGATGAGCACATTCTTCATGAAATATTTGATTTCATTAAAGCAAGATCACCTCATATCTCACACATTGCATAAAATAGACTGTTCTGATTCCTAAATGCAAAAAAAAGTTATTTTATGAACGTCCTAATTAACCCATCCAAATTAGATTTACGAATGTTTAGATTATTTGCCCTTTGTTTCTTTTTAATGGAGTTTTTTTTTCATCTATGAGCAGAATTGAGGACCTCGATTCCTATCAGATCAACCATTTCATTAAACCATGCTCATTAGTATTTGTTGAAGAGTCGTCATTATCTTCATAAAACCAACTTCTCCATGCATATGGGACTCCCTGCTGAAGAGTCGTCCTTATCTTCCTCTATCTAAAAGGCTAAAAATCAGGTTCTCCGCCTAACTGTCACGGAACAGCAGTAAATTTCTCCATGCATAATTATTTTTAAGAAACCTCGATATAAGTTTTTGATTTAGGCAAATATTCCCCTTACAACAGTATCTTCATTCCGAGTTTGTTCCTTTGCACTAGTTCCAGTGTGAAGACTTTTGCATTTCTTTCCCGTTCATTTAGAAGTTGTATGAGAGCTCAATTTAAATCTTTGATTTCATATAGTTTACTTTATAAAAGCCTATCACTTGTACTGCCTCATATATTTTCAATTGAGGACACTATTGTGTATATTTGAGGGCTCCTGGTCAACCTTAGTTCAGTAATTATTCTTTTTTGAAAAATCACTGGGGCCTCAAATTCCTCCAAAAGTTTTCCCACTAGACCCTCGGCAGAAGCTTATAATTTTCGTCAGCATCTTAAGATCATCATTTCCATTCAACCGAATTTACATCTGTACAGCACAGTGGTTTCATATTGAGTGTATATAGTTTAATGATTGGATACCAGAGTTTATGATTATCGTTTCCATTCTGAGGACGCTATGTATCTATCAAGTTAAAATTCGCCAGGACACCCTTGTAAATTAGGTCTCCAGAACCCACTACCATAGGTTTCTCCTTCAATCATCCCACATTTTCCTTCATTTCGCTTTGCATTCACCTAGATCAACTGATTTGTTTTGTTACAGAACAGCCAATGTGGAGCTTACCTTTTATAAGTGTAAGCTCATTAAAAAGTTATCCCTCTTTAATACTTCATGTGGCTCGTAGGCAGAAGTAGATGCCCATAGGCAGAAATTATTTTTCTTGTAACATTTCTTCATTTCGCGGCACAATCTGCCCTTAATCACACCCTGTTTGGCTGGATATTGATTATAGAGGCAGTAAAATTGAATTTTCTGGCAGAAAACTACGGAGATTATGTTGCCTGAGTTACTTGATACAGAAATTGCATTGTGAATGGAATTCTTCCGAAGGTTTGTTGTTAGTTCATATGGCCACAGGAGATAAAATGCTATAGGCACAACCAACTTTGTGAAGCCAGCTATTATTCTTCCACCATTACTCAACCTGCGAGCATGACTCTTTGTATCAGTTTGAAACAGCCAAATTAAAGCCTTCAATGATAGCATGGAGATAGAGGTTGATAGAGAGAGAGAGAGAGAGAGAGGGTAGGAAGTTAATAACCAGCGCGAATGCATGTCCTTCATCCATATCAGCATCTCCAACAAAATTATCGGCTTGTTCGTGAAGATTTTCATGACTTTTCATATTCAAATAAAAATTGACGAGTAATAATTGATATACTACGTGTTTATGCCATGTAAGCGTTAACAGATATTATTCATAACAAGATAGTTACATTTGAATTGTAATTTTTACTTTTAATAACTATTTTTTCTTGTGTCAATTGCCTTCTAAGATGATATCGCTTCCTTTTAAGAGCTATACATCGGTTCCTCCGTGTATAGCTCTTTTAAGAGTAAGATGATATCGCTTTACATGTCTTGCAATCTATCCTTGTCATTTTTTCTCTATTCCGATGCTGCACTTTGATATTCTCTGTAGCTTGATTTTCGTTTTGTAATTAATCTTCTGAAATACCCTCCGCAAATTATTAAAAGTTGGCCTTCCATTGGACACCCTTGTCACATATTTTTATTCCAGGTTCGTGACTTATTTACAAAAGCAGCTGCAGCTTCTCCTTGTCTTTTGTTCTTTGATGAATTCGACTCTATCGCGCCAAGGAGAGGGCATGATAACACTGGAGTCACTGATCGTGTTGTTAATCAGGTTTTTTCTTTAGTGTATCACTTTCTGAGCCAGCTTCAAGTGTTGTTCCTCCAGTTTTGGTTGTATTAGTGTTATTTAATATTTTACCCTCCTCTGCAGTTGCTTACAGAGTTAGATGGTGTGGAAGCATTGACCGGGGTATTTGTATTTGCAGCAACTAGGTTGGTTTTCTTATCTTATGTTACAGAGAATGATAGAAGTTCTAGTTATTGCATCGTCCAGTACTTTCAAGTAATTTTCGGCCGGAAGACTATCTTGCCATTCGCGTGGGCAGATTATCATTTCATCGTCTTCAAAGGAAATAATAGAACAATGGGGTGGGATTAATATATCAGCACCAACTTATTTATACTTTTTGATGATAATCATGATGAATATTATCCATCATCAAAATTACATTTTTTTCTTTTTTTTCTTTTCTTTGTCTGTACCTTAGTTGTTCCCCAAAGAACCACTAGGAGCAGGATATTTTGTTTGATTATTATAATGTAGGGGGTTGAGGCCATATCTCAATAGGTAATAATTGAATAACTCATTAAAACTTATTATGAGCCAATTATTTTGGCATGTCCTCCTATGATTGACAATGTCCCTGGCTAACACTACGCCTTGGAAATTTTGCCACAGTTTCCACCCACCACTCGCCGTTTTATTCCTAGCCATTGATAATGCTCACGACATTGCAGTGTAGTCACATGGTAATATCTTCATGTGTTTATTGTACATATATACTTGGTCTTCTACCTCTTATTTTCTTGACATTTCTGACTATTTTTAGTTGCATCCTGATGAATTATAACAAAATATTTCTCATTTTAAATTTTGCTAAAATGTACCTTGTTTTTATAATTAATCTATTAAACATTTTATATTATGAAATAGTCGACCAGATCTGCTCGATGCTGCACTTTTGCGTCCAGGAAGGCTTGATCGTCTTCTTTTTTGTGGCTTTCCATCTTGGCATGAACGATTGGCTATTCTTCAGGTTCTTTCCCAAAAGGTAAGGATGTCATTATTATGCATTTTTTTTGGTTTCCTAGTCATTTTCTTAAATACGTTGCTCAATCCCGGATGACAGATGTCCAACTATTTGGTTCATCCTGCAAGGCAATATGGAATATAAGCATGTGAATGATGTTTTTAACAGAAGATAGTTTTGAATAAGCACTAAATAGATTATTCTCAGTGGTTAATCACAAAATAAATTGTTAAATTCAAGATAGTCTCATTTCTCTTTCTACAGAGGATTAGGTTTGTAACCTGATCCTGCCTAGTTTCTATCGTTTTGGACCTTGAAATCAAGCCTTGAAGCGAAAATATGACTGGCACAAACTGCTTATCCAGGCCAAGCTTGGGCTTTGATGAGGTCTGACCGCCCATAGGCTTTGAACCCCGTCCAACACCCCTAGGCCTTCTAACTGCACCTATCCTTGCAGAGGATTCCATCGGAACCATTACAGTAGGCAGAGATTTCTGCTGTAGTCTCCATATTCCATGTTCTAGAATCCCAACTCGAAGACTTCATTCTTTTTATCAGTTTACCTTGTGGAAAAGCTTGCGTGTTCCAAAGAAGGGCATTCCTCAACGGATATTGATGTGGTATTTCACTTTTGGTTATGCTTTATGGTGTTGCTTTTCAGAGAACAGCTTCCCTAATTTCTTTAAATAACCAAACTACTTCAACATTCGCTACTGATCACTTCTTCTCTGCTCGTGTTGGCTGAAATTTTCGCTACTTCTGTTCTCCGTACTTTGTAATTACATATTACGATTGGTGTGCATTCTGGGTTTGAACAGCTCCCCTTGGCAAGTGATGTCAATCTGGAGGCAATTGCTTCAATGACAGAGGGCTTTAGTGGTGCCGACCTTCAAGCACTACTTTCTGACGCTCAGCTGGCATCTGTCCATGAACTCCTTGACCACAATGACGCTGAGAAGACCAATCAAATGCCTGTTATTGGCAATGAACTCCTCAGGAACGTTGCTTCGAGGGCAAGACCATCGATTTCAGAAGCTGAGAAGCAGAGGCTTGATTCCATATACAGCAACTTCTTGGACTCAAAGAAGTCCGTCACTGCACAGGTTCGCTGCCTTTCATTTTATTTTTTATTTTTATCTCTTGCAATCATATGTGCCTCCTTGACTCGCATCCAATATCCATCATGTGAATACCCATGATAGAGGTCAAACCGGACATGGTCGCCTCATCACAGTACTAAGGTAAATGGTGGGGTGATGCCCACTTACTCCCCGACTGTTAATAGCTGTCGGTGGACTGTGCTAGTAGAATGGAATGACTAGATCCACCCAAGAGTGGAAGAGGCCGATTCCAGGCATGGTCTCTTGACTAGCCCATGCTGGCAGAAGAGCCAGAGGATGAGAAAATGGCCCAGAAAGAAAACCTTAGCTAGTTTCATCCCACTATCACCAGCTACTGGTCAGTAGGCACCTGCAGTGGGTATTTTTCTTTCCACAAGGTCATGTTTCTATATCCATTTATACATCTACAGCAGATAAATACAGGTAGCTAATCACTTGTCGGCTTCGCCTCCATCTCTGCTTTTGGCTTGCGTCTTTTACACCTTGAGCTCTTTCTTGCAGTCGAGAGATGCAAAAGGTAAAAGGGCAACGCTGGCGTAGCAAGCATAGGCCATGCCCCCACAATGAGCACGGTAATTTTGGCCTGAACTCTGCTTCAAACTGGGTGTGTTTCTTCCTGTGGCTTGCATTAAAATATACCTGTTCCTCTGATCCAGGACGAGAAATTCTCTCACTTGGGGTGTTTTCTTACCATGTACAGAATCATCTCCTTCAGTCAGGTTGCATGGAGGTCATAAAATCACTGCCGATTCTCTTCGGCCAGGTAATTATCAATGTGCCCTGCAAGCTCAGCTCCATGATCTTCTTCTTGTGACAAACCTCACCATGAGCATTCTCTGTGACCTGCTCTTCATCTTTTTTGCATTTCTGCTGAATCTTCGTATGTTATGAAGCAGAACTCAGACCACCATGCTCTCTCCTGTTATACTACATGTACCAAGTCATTGTGACGAGGAAAAAAATTAATAAATATCCCACTTCTTTCGACGAAAATTGGGCTCTTGATGTTCTTGCCTTTTTTTTTCCTTTTTTTAATGCTTATTAGTATTAGCATTATTATTAATAAATATCATGTTTATGCCAACATAATACGTACGAAGTGGGTGCGGACCAGTTGACCACATTAAATCGAAAAGAAATAATCAGTGGCTTTTCATGTGTTATGAGGCCATCTTCAATCTCATTAAAGATTAATATCACTTTCTCGTGGATTAAAATAGCTAATCTAGCTATCTTACTTTAATTTATTTAATTAATTAATTAAGTAATTAATTAATTAAAGTGATGGTTGGCTATTCCAAATAGAGCTATATTTCTCAGCCTCAAACAAGAAGGGACAGCGGCGGTTTGACAGTAGAAGGAAGGGAATTTGCAAGAGACTTCAAGTGGAAATCCTTCGAGGGCTGAAGGTAGTTGAAGCTTCCTTCTACTACAGCTAAGTAACACCGATCTGATCCTCGGGATGTGATGGCTCAAATCGGAGTGGCCTAGTTATGGACCCCACCGAACCAACCACAGGTCAATTGAACGCAGAGAAGTGGCCCAGTGACAAGGACTTCTAAGCAAGACTGCAGGCCTCTCTCTCTTGTCATGTTATAAGGGCGGAAATGGGGTGAAAGGGGACAAAGATCTCTCTCTCTCTCTCTCTCTCTCTCTCTCTCTCTCTCTCCTCCCCCCGAGTAAGTAAGTAGGATTTTGGTAGAAATTCACCAGAGTTGTGCCCTGAGCACCCAGCCCATTCCTTGTTTTCTCTTACATAAAACTTACAAGCTCTAAAGCCCTTGCATGATCCCCAGCTTATTGCTCTATCTCAAGGAAATTGTGATTGAATAACTTCCAATAAATTACCATTTTAGACAAAATAAATGCACACACTTGTAAATAAAAAATTGTTAAAGTAGGGTTTTCCAAAAAAATAGGACACAAATTCTTATTGCCATTTTAAGGGTTTCTACTAGACATTAAAGGTCTGTTTTTCTCTCTCATAAATAAAAAATTATGGGTGAAGATCAATTTAACCGTCTAGTTGGGCCCACCCGTTGACAATCTTAAGGAAGTGATGAACTCCTGGTGTATTTGTAAAATTTCGTAAAATGGATAAGTTCTGATCAAGGTAGTTTCTTGGATCCTAACCACGGTTCCAACTTTGTGTATCTCAATATCATTGTGTCAACCAATGAATCTCGATCAGAGGGAGATTTTCCAAAAGTCAACCCTAATCGAATTTTTATGAATTTATTTTTTATATTAAAAGTTGTGATCATATTGTGTGTGATGTTTAATTAGACAAGCATCTTTAGATCTTGAACCAGATACTTGACCAAATCAGTAGAGATGATGAACCTAATTGACCAAACCTCGTTGACCAAATCTTTCGTCAACAGCTTAATCCTATGATTTAGAAGAAACCTGCAAACACGGCTTTATTTTTTTGTCAAGGGTCAACGAGGACCGCTGACTTGGGGAAAAGTTAATAATGAAACAGTCGAGGTGGGTTTTAAAGATGTTACAAGAAGGCAAGGGTAGAACTAATAATATCTTACATAGATGATGGGCCGAAGCTAATAGACGCGGCCCATTTACTTGGATTGGTTGGGCCTGCTAATCTTGCCCTCTTACGTCTGAAGTTCTTCGCCGGCCTCGGTCATCCCTCTTCTTCTCTCCGCCGCCGACGATGGGCGCCGCCACTCCGCCGCCCGCCGCCGTGATTGATTTCGCACTCGCCGCCATAGGCATCCTCAAAGGGCGGGCCTTCCACTTTCGGGCCACCCATTTTTCCGGTGTCGTCAACTCTCTGCAACAAATATAATCTGCTGGTTTGAAAGAGAACTGGTTAGCGGGGGGAGAGGAGGACGGAGGGAAGCCGCCAAAGAAGGGGGAGGAAACAGCAGCCGAGTGAGAGGGACTGCTCCGACCCGCGATGTCTGTGCTGATCGTGACGAGTCTGGGGGACATCGTGGTGGACCTGAACACCGATCGCTGCCCTCTGACCTGCAAGAACTTTCTCAAGCTCTGCAAGTAAGCCCTTAAACCCCCTCCTCCCCTGCTACCCTTGATTTTTTTTCTTGCATTTGTGCTTTTCACGTCTGCATTTGGCCTTTGTTTGTTCCTTCATGGTGACCTCTGAAGATCTGAGCATGTTAAACCCAATGGGTTTTTATCATCCCGGTCGTTTCCTTGTTCTGTCCTCACACTCGTCGGCACGGAGAAACCTGTTGGGGTTGTGTGTGGCCACGGAGAGATTTGCAGAGAAGATGTAGGGAACGATCTCAATTCGTTTGTCTGTTGCAATGTCCTTGTAGATGATGGGGGACATCGAGTGTGGGGAACGTCAGAATATCTTTAAATATCAAAACCAATGTAATGAAAGGGATATCCATGCATGTAATCCTTTTAACCGATAGGATATGTAGCACAGTTAACCATGCTACCCCCCCTTCAAACCCATATGTAAATACCATATCTCTTTTGCTCTCTCTGTAGAGACATAGCCAAAGGGACCCCTATTTCTGGGAGGTTTAACTCCCACGGAGCTCACATGCTGGTCGTCTCTGGTAAATTTAGTTTATGCAACCTTGGATTGCAAAACACTTTCCGAATCAAGGAAAGTGACCCATCTCGTGGTTTATTGAAATAGTAGTACATGTTATTTCTCTCCATTTTCTAGTTAGATGTTTTTCATTTCATAGTCCCAATATTTCTCGCTGAGTACATGTAGTGACATTTTTTACGTATCCATTTGCCCTTGGATATCCAGGATTAAGTACTACAATGGTTGTTTATTCCACAAAGTTCAAAAAGACTTCATTGCACAAGCTGGTGACCGTACTGGTACTGGCACTGCTGGTGAATCAGTGTACAAGTGAGTACCTTTACAGTTTTATGGTCTGCAGAATCTCTTACTTTTGCTCTGATTTGCGCATGCCAAATGATATTTTCATTGTTTTCATATATTGATCGTCAAATATTGAGTGCCTTTACAGTTTTATGGTCTGCAGAATCTCTTACTTTCGCTCTGATTTGAGCATGCCAAATGATATTTTCATTGTTTTCAAATATTGATCGTCAAGTGATCTTGTAATCTTGCAAATGTGATCCATAGTTGAGGCAGGCATCACGTGAAGTAAGGCCTGTCTGATATGCTGGAAGCCCCCCTCTCAGGGGAAGCTTCTTCCCAGTGCAACTGTCTCAGGATTTTTATTCGTTAAGACTGACAATTAGAGAATTTCTTTAGCATATCCTTTGTCGGACGGATTATCTATATTGTTGAGGACGTTCTTATCCCTTTCATAGTGCAGCAAACTTATAAACGGTGGAGAGCAAGAAATTGAGAAAAATAATGTTTTCTGCCGCCATTGAACTATTATTGGATAGTGGTCTCTTTTTAATGGTGATCAAGTATTATTCTCATGAACCGTAATTGACTCCCTGATTTAGGTTTCTGTATGGTGATCAAGCTCGTTTTTTCGATGATGAGATCCATCCTGATCTGAAGCATTCTAAAACTGGCACCATTGCTATGGCAAGTGCTGGTAAGAATTGCAATGCATCGCAGGTGAGTAATGAGGTTTTTGAAGTAAGCATGGTTTCTGATTTTATGTAGTGACCACCACCTGTATCACATATTCAAAATGTGATATCACAGTTATGCCCATATATTTTGAAACTGGCTCTGAAAATTGGAATATTTTGAAACCTTCTAATATCCTTGATTATAAGTTACATAACTAGAGCAACGAGGATGTTTTAAATTCTTTGTATCCATCGTATGTGAAATTTCATCTAAAATGGTTTATGATCCTCAACGTTTTTATTACTATTTGCAACTGAATATTCGTTATAATTTTGCATCTCTTGAAAGTTCAAAGGATTAAGCTGTTTAATTAATAAAAATATGCATGATAATAATGTTAACATATTCTTTCCATCCACATGTATTTGCTTTCTCTGTTACCACCTCTCTGATCCCAGATCCATTTTGCTGCTTCCAGTTTTATTTCTCACTACGAGATGATCTTGACTATCTTGATGGGAAAAATACGGTATGTCCCTGGGTTCTCTTCTCGTTTAGTATTTGATTGTTATGCATATCTTTTAATCTATTTAAATACCATGTTCCAAACCTGTTTTTCCAAAATTTTAGGTGTTTGGTATAGTTGAAGAACAAGAAGGCTTAGAAACATTAGCTCGGATTAATGAATCATATGTGGACTCCGAAGGAAGACCATTCAAAGACATCCGGTTTGTTCTTATGCTGGTATTTATGATTTTTTTTTCTTTTTCATGAAACTTCATTCAAGTTAAGAAGGCCATTAATTCTAAATTATGAATATACAAGGTTTTCTTAGCACTTCATCTGCCAAATGGATGGAAAGAATTTCTTAAAAACATATGTAACCAGGTACAAACCAGATGATTGAAAAGAATTCAATGGTTTTTGCCTCCAGTATATCCCATTCAATCTCTTTTGTTTCCAAAAGGAGGACGCTGAATGAAATCGTTTTAGTTCAGCGTATGTGCCAAAATATGCTTCATAAATTTGCAGAGAACATTCATGCTATGGTGGAAGAGAAATTTGACTAAAGAGGCGTGATAGGAGGTGGAAAACCTAGGTTTAGACGAAATTTGAGTCAGTAGAAATTTAGAAATTGTGCACCATACAAGGGAAGCAGAAAGTCACTTCCGAAAGTGTTCTCTTTCTTCTTCATGCTTCTTGTTTCTACATTAATAAATTATTTTCTCTGGAAAAAAAAAACTTGCAACAGTAGAGTAAGCAAACGTAGGTCTACAGTGATTCATGTCTCTTGAAATATCCGTTTCTTATGAAACTGAGAAAAATTGACACAAATTTTTCAAGAACAACGAATAGCAGTTATCTTTCATTTGAGATTCTCCCACCAGCCATGCTGCCCCAGCTAAACATCTATCTGGTTGCATGATCGGAGTTTTTATTCTTGTTATACTCACAAGTTTTCCTTTAAGAATGGCAGCATACTTATCTAAAATAATAAATAAATAAATAAAATATCTGAAGTCATACTAGCTGAACTCAAGCTTTCATAATTTGTTTATTCATAGTAAAAGTCACTAATCTCGAAATTCCTGATAAATCAATCTAAAACTATCTATGATATTCAGTCAGGTGTAAATTTTTCAAAGATACCTCTCTTGTACATTCAAAAGCATCTTAAAATGTGCCATTAAACCTTTTGTCTCACCTTTTATGATGCAAATATTGCAACAGAATTAAACATACGTATGTCCTGGATGATCCTTTTCCTGATCCACCCCAGTTGGCTGAATTTGTTCCTGATAGATCTCCCGAGGGCAAACCGGATGAGGAAGTAAGCACATTCCTGACCTACTTTACGGAGTTACGTAGTTGTTGTCAACAATAACCCGTACTTATTACATTTCAGTAGATAATTTATGATGACACATGGCAATATTAGTTAGTGCTCCTTTTTATCATGTTGTTTCCTACTTCGTATTTTATTATGCTTTGATCTATTATTGTCTAGATTCAGATTTTTGCTGCAAGTGATTTCGCCACCCATGTTCCAATTTTGCACTTCGTCCTCTTTCCTCAAAAGAAATGAAAAATATTAAATGAGAAAAATTAACTTAATACTAAAAAGTGATCTGTTAGTTGAATATGTTTGTAGGTGACAACATTTTCTCTTATACATCATGTAGCACTTGGATCCGTCACTCTGTCAGGAATCACACCAAAAGGTTTAGCATCAAAAGCAGAATCCTTTGAAGGGTTCTTAATCCTCCCAGAGTCTTCATTTTTATCCAATTCCAGGTAAAATAGTCAAACGAACATGACGCAGACCATACAAGGATAATCACTCGGGGAAAATCTCTTCTTCTCAAATCATAGCAAAATTGCTAGTAAAATGCAATTACCCTGGCCACGAGAAAAGGAAACTACATAGGTTAAGGAAACTGACCGACAGAAACTAACTCCTAATTACACGTTTTCCCACAGGACATAGTATATACTCTAGACTGACTGGCCATATAAGAGAACCATTTAGAAAACAATGGTGTATAGTATACGATGTTTCAAAGAATTTCAAAAACGTACAATACATGATCAAGATTGTTGTAATGTTTATCCAGCTGGTCCAGAGAAATATAGCTGGGAAGATGAACTTGAGCCAGGCTTGTTGAATACGACCAATTAGGGAAAAAATTGTGTTCTTATTTCATTGATTTATCACCTTGTAAATGAGAGCAAAATTGGCGGGTTTCCTTTGTTACTGTAGTATTTATATGTTACTTTTTTCTTCTAATTCACTATGCTCGTTATTGGCTTGCACTTTATGGTGATTATTCCCACCATAAGCATATGAAAATCCTCTAGCTCCAGTTTTGCATGGGGTTCATGGATTGTCATATCATCACTTTAGTCTCCTCTACTTTTTCTGTTCTCTCCTTCATAATCTTCCTGAACCTCAAATTTGGTCATCATTTATTGGGAAGAGCCATGCATAACCAAAGCAAAATAACGATTGTCTAAATACATCTTACTAGCTGGCATATCCCTGGGCAGTGACTATATCTTTTCGACCTTGTAACTTCCTCTAAGCTTTTCTTGTTACCGTGGTTAGCTTTATTTATGTATATTTTTCTTAACTGGCGGAATTACAGTTTTGATTGACATCTAGAAGGCCGCTCATAAATCCTGAATAGTTCAAGCATCAACGCTGAGTTCCTTTTATTTTTTCATGAGCGTTGCGTATTATAAAGAAATACTGATACCTCGACATACGTCCTTATTTTGGAATGGAAATAATTTAGACGGCAGAGCCACGACTTGAAGATGACTGGGTGCCAATGGATGAAACAATAGGTGCAGCAGAACTTGAAGAGAAACTTCGTGCAAGGGAAGCACATACTAATGCCGCCATTCTTGAAAGTGTAAGTTTTATGCAAGCTTTCTCATTTCGAATCTAATACTCTAACTTTAATGATATTGTTTCTGATCTGTGTATATAGATCGGTGATATTCCCGATGTTGATGTAAAACCACCAGAGAATGTCTTATTCGTCTGTAAGCTTAATCCAGTAACCCAAGTGAGTTATCATATTGACTGGTTCAAACATGGTTCAGTTTTTGCATTATCATCCCTGAAGTAGACACTTATGTATTATACTCAAATGCAGGATGAAGATCTCTATACAATCTTTTCACGTTTTGGAAATGTCATATCGTGAGTGAAACAGTGTTCCATACATACCAGATGCTGGGTTGATTTAACATTATCTTCTTCTTTAATTTTTTTCTAATATTTTGTTTCAGCGCTGATATAATTCGAGATTGGAAGACTGGAGACAGCTTATGCTATGCTTTCATTGGTGGGTGCCTTTATGGTTATGTATTAACTCATGTAGTATCAGGATTAATCACCTTATAGGAAGTTATTGTTATGCTTCCATGCTATCTAATAAACAGCAGTCACAAAAGTGACGTCCGGTGCTATGTTTTCTTTAGATGTTCTAAAGAGGCTGAGTGGGAGAGATACAAAGCTCAATGAGGAACTTATGCTTTGAGCAAGTTCTATGTAGAGAGATCATCACGTGTAATACATGTTAGAATGATCTGGAGACCATTTGCTGGGGAAATCAGGTTGAGACACCCCTTGAGAGTGTACTGTATTATAAGAAAATATTCATATTATTTATGTATTATATTCTAATATAGTTCTATAAATGCAGAAAGAAAAAAGCCTGATTTCTGAGGAAAAGAAAGTCTTTTTTATAAATGGTAGCTTACATGTTGAGTACATTTCGCTGTTTTTAGAAATATTTCCTTATTATAAGTGCGTTACGTTCCCTGTTTCAGTTCGAATGTATGGAGTTTGTCAAAGGCCTGTTAGGAGGTTTATGAGTACCCAGTTGCACTTCGTTGACCTTCCTCTTTGAAACAGATTACTGCTGATGGTCCTTTGTATAAGCAAAGTGCATTTTTGTTCTCTTTCTTAAAAGTCGCATCTTCTTCTCTGTTACTAAGAGGTCCTTCTGGCTTCTTTCAGAGTTCGAGAACAAAGAGTCGTGTGAGATGGCCTATTTCAAGGTATGCCTATTTGGTTGCCACGTCCATTAAGGCATTTTCCTTCAGCATAATATCTCCATATTTAGCAGTTAATTGTTTGAAGGATAGCGAGAAGAGAAAAAGAAAAAGAAAAAAAAAAGGGTATGGGAGTAACTCTCAGGTTCCTCTTCTATATGAATGAGAAAAGGAGAAGAGACCCATTTATGTATGAAGTTTTCTTTCCATAATGAGAAATATCTCCATGTTTAGCAGATAATTTAATGGAGGATGGGAAAAGAAAAGAAACAAGGTCGATCAGTGAATCCTAGCTTCCTCAGTTTCTAAGAGGAAATAAGAGACAGACAGGTCTGGCAATTAAGTATGGCATAATTCCATAGATCTCATTGTCAGCAGATAACTGTTTGGAGGATGTGAAGGTGTGCCAGGAAATTTCATCTTCTTTCCTCTTTTGGATAATAAAAAAGAATAATATGTCATTTGATTTGCATGATTAGAAATATCTACATTTGTAGCGATTATCTTATCTTACCTTCCACTTATTTTTTATAGAAAAAAAAAGAAGAAAAACGTATCGATCAGGATATTCCTTCTTTTGCATGATTAGAAACATCTCCATGTTTTGAGGGTGGGAAAATTAAAAGACAAAGAGGCGGTCTGTCAGAAAAAATTAAAAAAACTTATTAACTGTGTTTTTTTTTGCATGATCATAAAAATTTCCATATTTGGCAGTGAATTCTTTGGAGAATGGGAAAAGCAAAAGAAAAAGGCTCAGCCTGTTGAGAAATCTTAGTTTCCTCTCTTTTATGTCAGAAGAAGAGAAATGGGGCTGATTTTGTTAGCATATATTTGGTTCTATTCAAGCCAATTGAATCTTATTTTTGAGCGAATCTTATTAGCACCCATCGGTTAAAAAGTCAACGGGAAATGGCGAAAAAGTATGGCTGCTTATCTTCGGCTTATGAAAAAGGAAGCTGCTTTTCATATACTGCTAAAGTTTTCCTGAATATTTATTTCTCTTATGGGAAACCAGGGATCCTTCTCCTGTGAAATAGTTTGTGTTCTTGAAGCGCAGCATGAGTGATCCACATTCATGTAAGGTAATGATTTTATGATGTTTCTGAGTTGCTACAGATGGACAACACACTAATCGATGACCGAAGAATCCACGTTGACTTTAGCCAAAGTGTTTCCAAACTATGGGCCAAGTACAGGCACGGCAAAAAGAACCAAGCAAATGAGGGTAATCTCGATGGGTTGACTTTTCCTGAAGTCAAACTCGTGGACCATGCATGGGTTGACGCTTCCTCCTCTTATCCATCCACAGGCGGGGGATGCTTCAAGTGCGGCGCCCCTGATCACATCGCCAAGGACTGCACTCAAGGCCCAGGCGGCCTCCAGGGAGGCCAGAAATATGTCCTCAAGGATAACAATGTTCAGCATGGAGGGTCAGACAACCAAAGGTCTCTCTCTCTCTCTCTCTCTCTCTCTCTCTCCCTGGATAGAAATATATCAAGATCTGTGACTATGGAAGTTTACTTGCAGCTATGAGATGGTGTTTGATGGGGATACGTTAGAAGGTGAGGACAGAAAAGGGGACGGAACAAAGAGACAGAAGACAGAGAGACCTCACAGAGGGCAAGACAGGAGAGAAGAGCACCACCATGACCGCAGAAGCGACAGGCATGGCCATGACAGAGGGAGGTCGCGCGAAGAAGATGAGAGGGGCCGACAGAGCAGGGAGGAGGAGAAGGCGAGAGAAGACACAGAAAGGCGCGGAAGTCACAGGGAGAGCCGAAGACACGATGACGGTCGTAGAGAGAGAAGCGTTGAGAGAGAAAGACGGCGCTGGAGGGACGACCGAGAGGAAGAAGACGGCTCCAAGGATGGTAGAGGTCACCGGAAGGAGGCCCCGGGGAGAGAGAGCCGCCATGGCGAGCGACCCAGGAAGGACTACGACTACGAGGATCGGCACATCAAGAGCAAGGATCGAGAGGTAGCTGATGACAGGCAGAGAAGGTCTCGAGACGAGAAAAGAAGATGAACTCCTCTTTCAGCCAGATTATGATGAACTCTTCCTTAGTCAACGGAATCCGTGGAACACCAGGAACTGATATGAGATGAAACTGGAACTTAGGATATTTGGGCATTCACCATGATTCAGATATATGTTTATATAAGTTAGTAACACAATTTTCCAAAGCATTTACGCTCTCAACTCGAGCAAGAATGCCGGATGAAGATGTCAACCATTCCATTTCGCGTCGAAACCAAATAAATCCATCGGTTATATGCTTGAAAACATGTTGTAGAAGATGAAAAAGAACAAAAGCCTTTCAACAGAGTAGGAAGAACTAAGGAAGCAACTGATTATTATTATAATCCACATCATAGAGCAGTTAATGACGTGATCTTCTTGGAAAGTACCCATCAACTGGAAACAATGATCTGACACAAACATCAATAGAAATATCTAGGAAATATCATCCCACATCAAAGTCAAAAGGCAAAAAACAATTCTGACACTAGATTGAAGTCCTGATGTGATAATGGTCAGAAGGTGCAGATTCGATCTTACTTACAGTAAACGAGTCAACGCGCTGGTACTTTCAGCAATCTGAGGAATTTTCAGCAGAAGATTATGATCTCCCACACACATGATGTCTATACAGGGCTAAGCCCTTTTGGGTACCCCCCTCAATATGTCAACGTCTTGAGATTTCGAAGCACTTTCTTTGCAGACGACTGAGTTGCTCCTTCTTGTGATCACAACTAGTGGTCCTGTATTGATGAAACCTAAGCAAAAACTGCATCAAACCCCTTTCTAAGTTGCGTGAGTCAACTCAGTTCCATGAGCCTTCTAAGCCAGGAAAGTCAAAGGAGGGGAGCTGCAAGTTTAAACAAGTCAGCATAACAGAACTGTCTCTGGTGCTTAGGTATCTCACTCTAACTCGGTGCCCAGGTCAGCATAGATCTAGATTGCCTAATACAGACTTCTTTGCTGCACAGAACCTGTCTAGAAGCGAAGATACAACACCCTGGGAAGAAATCGACATTTGCTCGCACATTAAATAACCCAAATTAGATGGACTATACGGAGATATTATCTGATATTACGTGGGTTACTTGCCCAATATCCAGTCATCATAAACCGTCCGATACAAAGTATCGGTGAACAGATGCGCCACTTTCTTGTGAGAGGAAAATCTTGCATGATCCAGTTCTTCGTTGATAGAGCTGCAAATGATCAGTAGACAGTGCAGCTCAAGGTATATAACTCTGGATCAGCTTCAAGGCCAGCAACCTCGGTTAGCAACTAGCATAGATTATATATATATATATATATATATATATATATATATACACGCAGATATGAAGCAGCCCCACAAACCCTGCTTCCCATATAGGAACTTACATAGCTGGTTCGTCTCCATGGTGTTGTTGCTCAGCATAAATCTGATGTGGGTCTCGTATATCTCGAAACAGGGAGAAAAAGGAAACGAGGCCCTCCGAAGATGCACCCCCCAAGATGGAAAGCAGCATCGAACCAAAGGGATTTAGTGGGCCGGTGTTAGAAGCCGCAGCTGCCTGCTGCATGTTTAGCTCCGGGAACTGAAGGGGAGAAGAAATTGGGTTTGGGCCGCTGGCTGGCCGTGGTTCAAGGACACTGGTCTCTGTAGATTCATCAGGGTCGGGTTCAAGAGGATTGAGCCCCATTTGGGGCCCGGGGTCAATCCCAGGATCAGTACCCAGAATACCTTGGTTTCCCATATTTACTCTGGCGATATGCAGGGTGGAGGTGACTATGGTGGATGAGGTGATCTGGACACCTGCCTGCTGCTGCAGATGAGATCGGCTGCTCATGAACCTGTGTAGGGCTGGGACCTGCGGCGAGTTCACCAGAGAAATATACTACTCAGTCTTGGAAGGCAGCGGTCGTAATGAGAAAAGATATTGCTTTTCTACTGGAAGATGAAGACGATTACCTCATAGTGGTTCCAGAAATATAGAATCAAGTGCTGCATGAAGGCGGCAGTGGTAAACAAAGCCAAATAAGAGAAACCTGGGGGCAGAAGATATTAGTTGCTGAAATATTAAAGAGAAAACAAATGAATAGAAAGAGAAGAAGAGCGTACCATATGAATAAGAAAAGAAGTAAATATGGAACACCAAGAAGTAGAGCAAGAAGAAGCGTGGAAAAAACTGCATGGAAATTGGCGTCCGGACACTGCAAAAGAACAGCCGGACATCAAATGTGAACAGAAACCTCCGGGGATACTACAACACTTTGGAAGAGCATTATAGCTATGAATCGTGAGGACTTTCTACGGAAGGAATGGCAGGTTTTTCAACTAAAGAAATAAAAGATGGAGGTGTAGATAAATGAACAGGAAGAAGGCGGGTTACCTGATCATTGTAAAAAGTTCACACAGCCAAACAAGGGCTAGGACCAAGAAAGCAAGCATCTGATCATCGTAAAACTCGAACAAGAAGAAAAGGATGCCGATCATTATCTGTGGGCAAAGAACTAGTGCATTAGTTCAGAATTGAGAAAGATAAAAGAGTACATTAAACAAAAGATAACTTCACATATGCTAAATAAATTTGAGTAGTCTTAGAAGTCTTCAAAAAAGAAAGTTGACCCACTGGTACAAAAACAAGTGACTCGATCACGTGTACAAAAATCAACTGGAAAGTTGGGAGATTGTGCCTGGCATGATGTTGTAGCTGAACTGCAATGATCAGAGAAAATGACAGCCGATTTCATTGTAAGATGATATGGAATATTATAGGCAGTATCAGAGCTGACGTTTAATTATTAATATCTATTTTGGTACGAAAACAAATACCAGTGAATTTCAGCATTCGAGATTGTGTCTCCCTCAGTGTAAATGAAACAGACATTGTGGTCGTAAAGAAAACAAATAATGACATAATGAGCACGCTACCCTTGGTCAGAAAGTAATCTGCAGCAGAAGAAGAAGAAAGAAACAGTTAATAAGCAACAACTCTTGAACCGTGTAAGCAGCAAAAACTTCTGGCACTTGGAACCATTGTGAACATGAGGCACTTGATGAAAAATAGGCAAAAATTTCTAGATAATATATAAGATACAAGATTGCATGCCCTAATATGTAAAATAGTCAAGGTTGCCATAAAACGTCTAATGAAGAAAGAGAGGTTTGACTAACCACCAAACCTTGACGAACCATCCAACGGTTCAAGTCCATAACCAAGATAGTAAAATTCTTGAGTCTGACTGCTGTAAAGATAACCTGAAAGAGTTCGCAATAAAATCAGGAGGGAAAATACCTTGAACATGGGTCTAAAAGTATTACATTAACTGAGAATGCGGACCAATTTTTCACCTCACACAGAGTGAAGATAAATTAACATATATGGGAAGTGGATCCCATAAGAATGACTTTAGTCAGACCAAGAAAGAAGAAACGAAATGACGAGTTAGATGCAACAACCATTTCTAAACTTATGAAGAGTAAAATTACAAGACATGGCGTAGCATTCAGTGATATTTAAAGATGCACATAGAACTGTGGCATATTTTCAAACGATCCATGACAAAGAAAGTTCTTTCACCTTTCCCTGGAAAGCTTAATAAACTATTCATCAGAATGGTATCATAGCCAACAAAACTATTGATAAGATGCTGTTGCCACCTGGAAGAAAGAAAACCAAACGGTCATTCTTATAGCATCACACCAAAAGAGTATTGAAAAATACTTAAGCTCTTCCGAGGACACATTCTTTCTTCCGAAATTTAATATTAAAACCACGTCCTAAAAGGTTGAGAACAGCCTGACCTGTTCCCAAAACAGGAATTCTGGGCAGAAATGCTGATGTTAACGGTCTTTATGTTATGGAGAGCTTTGGCACCTTCAGGAAGCAAGAAATAACCCTGAAAAGTAACTAAAAGTATTATCCCTAATAATTATAAGTAGCAGAATAGCATCTAGCTATCACATATCATGCCGATCTTGAGAATACGCCAAAAAACGCAAACTGGGATATTCAGGTTTAGATCCCAAAAATACAGTTGAATAGTGGATAAGTCCATAAGCTTTTTCAATTTCTGTTACAACTCCCGTGAAACAATTTAATTCGTAGTTTTTTATCCTCTGAAAAAAACTACCTTTTAAAAACGAGGAATATTCTCAGGAATATTTAATCAACATCAACTTAACCACTTAAATTCTTTCAAAGCACGGAAAGCCCACAGTTTTATCATTCGTGTTTAGTCTTACTGTCGGCTGGGCTTGGCAATAAAATTGAACTGGTGCAAACATGAGGACTGTAGTGAGGAAGCAAGCAATGCTGGGTAAAGTCTGAACGAGAATGAGGCAATGGACGAGGAGATGGTGGCTTCACACTGGAGACTGTCTATGGAGAGTGGAAAATTGGGGTGACAGGGGAAGGTGTCAATTTTTATTTACACAGTTCTCTATTTTACATCCACACCACACTTAGTCTACAATGTTAAATAAGTTACAAGAAAAAAGAAGAGTTGTTCCATAGAGTCTAGGGCTTGTTCTTAGATAGTCTAGGGTGACTGACCCTCTCGGGGTAAAAGAGACATACCTCCAGAAATTTTCCTTGGGCGGGAGATACAGAGCAATGGGTATTGCGCAGTCCAAAGGGTCCGAGGGAGATGAGGGATGTTGGACGGAAGGAGAATGGAGACAACAAGGATGGGATAAGTGGGACATGAGCAGCCAAGAGGTAGGAGTGCTAAACCTGGGAATGTGGCAGGCAGTGGTGCTACATCAGAATTATCAGCAGAGACAGATTAAAACTACATTCCTGACCTGACCAAGAGTTAACAGTTAAGCGGTTTCAAGGGAGTTATACCGTCGTTCAGGTGTCATACAGATATCAAAAACCAAAAAACCCAAATTTAGTATATACCTTTTCGAGAGTGTAGAGGTAAGTTGTCTCAGATGCCTTGCTACCTCTTTCAAGCCATTGCACTGTAAAAGAAGACATTAGCAAGGAAAGCTTCCACAGATACCAACAATCTCCACACAAAAGGAGAAGGATTAAATTAAATACAGATTTAGCATGTTCTATATTTTAGACGCTTGTTTGTGATGTAACATATTAACAGCAGCAAAACCCTTAAGTTTGTGAAGCCTATGGTTCTGAAACAAGCGCGAGGGAACCAAATCTCACAGAGGGAGGACTGCAATGTATAGAGTATATCAACTAACGCTTGCATGAAAACTTTACAACTGGCCATAACCTGGAAAATATAGATATCAAATCTCCATGGTTTCCAGATGCAGATGGATGACTAAAGGTGACCAAAGGTTGAAATGTGCAATCAATAACCTAAATAAAAAGGGCCTCAAACGAAAAGCATGATGATATAGAAACATTACCTAAAAATAACTTTATTTGTTGCAGGTGAAGCATTTGAAAGAGCCTTGGAATATCTCTTATCACATTCCACCCTACAGCATTCTGTAAGATCAAATTTTAATAATATTGACATCCTCTTAAATAAAAATAAAAGAGCCTCTTAGCGTTTAGAATAGCCAATAATGATTCTGGCACAAATGGAAGCAAATAACGTTTCTTATTTAAGTGAATCACCAGAAAAAAAAAATTCCAGATAGCAGTGCAAATCAAATAGTCTGGAATAGAAATAATTTTCTATAAAATATGAAACAATCCCTAAAATATAAGTCATAGGGGAAAGCTGATCTTGCGATGCTTTTCACAGCCATAAAATAAAAAAGACTAGCCAAAAAAATTGCATCATGTTAAGCTCCTCACCCATAGCCGACGTGCAAATATAGATAATTGCTTCAGAATCTTCCAGAAGTAAGAAATATGCACCTGCCACTTACTAAAGACATAAATAATTGCTGTTTTAATCGACTCCCTTTTAGAGAAAAGGAAACTTGTCCTCGGTGGCTCTGCATCATCACTACTTTCTATTTCCTGAGGTATTCTAGTGATGTGAGAATTAGCTATATCCACCTGAGGATCTTTAAAATCTTTCTCACTCTTCCAGGATTTGAAAATTGATTTTCTTCTAGAACTTGACACAATCCAGGAAGAGAAAAATTTTGCTGCTGAAGATGTGAAATCGTCGGCATTACCATCAAGAATCACTTTTTTCTCTGTTGAAATATTATCATTTTCCATATCCATCATATTCTTATTTGTGACATCCTCAGAGAAAAGTCCACCCTTGGTAATCTGCACAAACAGACAACGATGTAATTATATAATCATAATGCGTCCATAAAAAAGGAGGAATAATGAGAACTTATATGAGCAGAAAAATTTTGAAAATTTGAAAGGTAAATCTTGTTAGCCAAGACTGGGAAAATGAAAGAGAAACAAGATAAACATTTGGCATAAGAAATCGAATAGATGAAGAAAAAAGGAAATGCATGCGAAAGAGCAGAATACCTTGATTTGAACAAGCTGGCATCCTGAAATGTCAATCTGTGATAACTCACCTGAACAGCCAGGCTGCAGAGATAAAATGAAGTGCATCAAAATTGGGCATAGGACGTACTAAAGAGAATTTAAGATACCATGCACATCATGTTTAATAACATTAATTTATAAATGAGACGTTAAATAGGAGTATAAGCCATTCTCAAGGGAACTAACACTCAAAGAAGCATGAAGAAGATAAAAACCATAATCTCTAAGTTCATCAGCTGCCCCCCCTAGCTAGCTACTTGCATTATCAGGATTCCATAACAGAGACATGGTGAAAATTCCATCTCATTCCACTCTTTAGCAGTTGAACAGTCACTCCAAAACAATAGCACAGTCATTAGGCTGCTTAGTTTGTTGCCTTATTAAAGCTACCAAATCCTCAACTTCTAATCAATTTCTTCAGGAAGAGGAAATATACAGTGGGATGGCGTCAACATTGTTATCATTAGAGCTGGATCTCAGATTGGCTGTGTCCAACCGTGATATAATTTAGACTGGATCAGGTAAGCCGATGCAGACTGAGAAGTATAATACATTTCAAAGTATATATAAGGTTATTCTGATCACTTATAATGATACATTCATTGGATGTTTAAAAAAAAGGGACTCAAAATCTATTGATCCTCCAAATGGAATTTGTTGGAAGCCATGGACAGCGAAACAAGAGAGCATTTCTCTTCTTGCCTCAAGCTTTTTTCTGTCTTTCATTTTACTCTCATCAGTATCGTTGCCAAGATTTTCCCTCCCATCCATTATTTTCTGACAATGGCAGACAGCAAGTAACGAGCAGATTCTACCTTTATAAGGAAAAATCAGAAAAGAATGTGGAAATAATTAGACCAACCAAAATCCACATTATTTTTTCCTTTTTAGCTTTTTGAACTCTCAAGGTGCATCAGGTTTCCCCTTAGGAATCAAATTTGCTATCCCCTACCAATCTGAACCAACTGATTCAATAACTCAGGTCATGTCTCTTCTAACTCGCGGCGGTTACACCCCCATCAAACCATAATATTCCAATGACCCAATCATTTCCCCATCCCACGTTGAAACCCAATGAAAACGAAATACAGAAGGGAAATTTCTCACGGTTCCACATAAAGGAAAGGACGAAGAATATTAACCCAGATAAATTTATCCAAGCTCTATCTATAGGAACGAACTTCCTCAACGTTCACATGAAGCCCCGTCTCAATTAAAACATATAAGTGGATAACACATGTAAGATTGTTCATGCACCTCAGTATCTTAAGCATCCAGTAATGCAGCTTTATTCATTTTTCCATCGGATCGTATGATAAAACCCAAGTTTTAAAAAAAAAAAGTTAAAAGCAATAACTAAGGGTCAAAAGCAATAACTAAGGGTTACTGTCAAATTAATAAATTAAAATGAAGCACAGTTTTTTTTTAACTGAACCATCAATTTCCAACTAATATGGTTTAGACAATTTGGCCTCCATCTTCACTCCAATACATCATTTTTTAGGGTTACTCTACCTAGGTGTCCCTTGTTTTATTCTCACTGAAACTAAATTCATGGTAGCGTGTCCCACAGAAGAGGTTCCATAGCATTATAAGGAATGAAAAGTTAATACAGAATCATTGTGAGTGAATAATACCAAAAATAGGATAACCAATGTTTCTCACGGTAACCACTTTACTCGAGCTCAGGCATGACAACAAATATTATGAATAATGATGTTGTGTAACGAGGGTGAATTGATCTAGATTTACACATTAAGCACGCCACTCAACCACCAATATACTTTCAAGAGTAAAACTTCCAATATTATCCATATAAATAAAATTTCTTCAATGTCATCGAAAACTAATTGAAAGAAATAAATCATCGGGAAAGCCTTATAAAAACAGATGCCTTATGAGTCTGATCTTCAAAACACAAAGCACAACTTAAAGCTAATCGAAAAGTTCGTTCACTTATGTTGTAGTATGCACGTCATCTTCTTTCAATGTGAATGTTAAATCCCCATAAAGGAAGAACTATAAATAAATACCCACTAATAATTAAAAAGCTGAGAGCAAATTACCCATTCTATTTCAAAGGCAAAAGATGATAACAATTATTCTAATAAAACCCATCGCAGTCCTCAATTCTCACGTCTCCCGGTTCATATGGGAAAACAGTGCATGATTTTCGCAAGAATATAAAAACAGTGCATGACTTGCCTAAATTACCTATTTAGGAAAGGAGTGACTAAAGTGGAGATAAATTCGCCCTTTCGAACCCCCAAACCCCCACCCATACCTGCTGAACGAAGTTAGTGTGCATAACAACGAGCAATCCGAACAGGGCCACGGCGATGCCCAGGTGAATGTACTCGAGCGCCCTGCAGATCCGAGGGGTCAGCAGCTGCGACAGCATCCCTGACAACCGAGTATGGACCCGCAGGAAAGTCTGATCAGGATCCATCTATCTATTGGGTGATCCCTGAGATTGCCGCCGCCAGCAGCAACACCAAATAGGGAACTGATTCATGGGATAGGAAAGTATTGAAGGAGCACAGAGAGAGACACCGAGGCCATCTGGAGATCCTCCTTCGAGCATTCATCACTTCCCGACTTCGCTATTTATCTATCCGCGTGATAATTAAATAAAACTACAAAGATTTCTGACTACTGGCCCTTCGACATTTCTATTTTACCAAATGAGAAAAAGAATCTTCATCCAGAACTTCCTACCCAAAAATTAAAAACATTTTTATATTTATAAATTAAAAAAATTACAATTATAAAAAATAATCCAGTTTTTTAGGAAAAAATATGGCAGCGGAACTTTCAAAGTGTCACTCGCATTATTATATATATATATGAAATAAAAAATTTGTATGGATAATCAAAAATTGTTGAAGGAAGAAAGGCGCCATGCAGCCAACTCTGACAAGTATTTGGACTCCACGTCAGCTCATGTTGCCCACCTGTCCTCCATGAATGTGATGGAGAGGCTAGTGGCCCCACTGCCCCTTTGCACTGGAATTATGAGGGATGCACCTTCAACATAAGTCCGAGAACGACCCACTAATGCACCATTATTTTTTCCCAAAAAATATAATACTTTTATTATCTCTATGTTTTATATCTATTGTTTACCTTAATAATACAATATTTCAAAATGTGACCTAACTATACAAAGGGAAGTCTATCAAGATCAAACCCACTTAATAGTGGTTTTGTCGAAGCCTTTATATTTTTATAGGACTTTTCTCAAAATGTGTCCTAACTATACAAAGGGAAGTCTATCAAGATCAAACCCACTTAATAGTGGTTTTGTCGAAGCCTTTATATTTTTATAGGACTTTTCTCAAAATGTGTCCTAACTATACAAAGGGAAGTCTATCAAGATCAAACCCACTTAATAGTGGTTTTGTCGAAGCCTTTATATTTTTATAGGACTTTTCTCAAAATGTGTCCTAACTATACAAAGGGAACGTCTATCAAGGTCAAACCCACTTAAGAATGGTTTTGTGCTAAGTCTTAATATTTTCATAGGATTTTTCTAAAAATGTGACCTAACTATACAAAGTGAAGTCTATCAAGATCAAACCCATTTAATAGTGGTTTTGTCCTAAATCTTAATATTTCTACAGGATTTTTCTAAAAATGTGACCTAACTATACAAAGGAAAGGTCTATCAAGGTCAAACCCATTTAATAGTGGTTTCGTCCCAAGTCTTAATATTTTTATAGGATTTTTCTAAAAATGTGTCCTAACTATAAGTGATAAAAGGATGGAGGTCAAATTGAGGGTCAACTCAGTACATTCATGACCTAACCTACTGAACCTCCTTTAGTTACTTTTTTTAATGTCACAGTCAAAGTTCATCTTTAGATATTTATTTCATTATATTCGAGTTTCATTATGGGCGAAAAAATGTAGTGAAATTAGAGAAAAATGAATCAAGATTTCCCATTTTCTCATCATATAATGTTTGACACCCTTTCATTCATCAGATGTTCAGAGTTTTTGGCATTAAAAAAATATAGTAATATATTAAATTTGACATAATGGACAAGGAAGACCAAGTCAGCAAGCAGAGTTATGAGTGGATAAGGTGGGTCCTACTCAACAGGGCTGAATTTTTGTAGAAGCATGGCTAATGATGCTCAATTTTACTAAAAAATTGGAAATCATTTTATTAAGTACTTAATAAATGCACAACTGATGATGGGTACTTCATTGAAAAATTATCACCATATTATGTAATTTTCCATATTTATTTTTATCAAGAACATGTTGTTGCAGCGATCATCTAAAGAAGAAACCCTGAATATGGAAATTTTATAAACACCCTTGTAAATGTGTTATATCATCACATTAGGTAATTGCCCACATTTATTTTTATAAAAAATATTTAATTTCAAATAATATTAATATTACTACGATAATCCGGTCAAAGGCGTGGGGGGTCAGGCTACATATGGAAAATTTGAAAATAGCCCTTGTAATTTTTTTTATAACAATAGCACCGGATTGTGTCCAGATAATGCTCCACAAGGCGATGAATTTAATACTGTTAGGATTTCTCTATGCATTCGGACCGAGTCCGAGTCAACTCGGGGGGAACCAGTCCCCTTCAAAAACCCTTGCCGCCAAAACCCTCATTTTCGGTTCTTCCCATCCTTCCGCGGAGAACAGAGGAAGGCGGGGTTGTCGTCGGCGATGGCCGGAGCTTCGAAGGAGGGCTTCTCCGGGATCGTCAACCTCACACCACACAAGATCGCCCTGTGCCACCTGATCCAGTACTTCGCCCCGGCGGCGCATTCGTCATTGCCCATCCCCTTCAAGTCAGTCTCCCAGCACAACCGCCTCGGCCTGTTCCTGTTCTCTCTCACACGGGTGCGCACTAGTTCCGGCATTCTTCCTCAGTCCACCGTTTTTCTCTGTTTTGATTCTGGTTATGAATTTGACTTGTGTTGTTATTGTTTCTCATGTTTTGAACGTACACTTTGTTTTTTTCTATTTTTATGCTTCATTGGATGTTGTTCTACGTAATATGCAGACAAGAAAGAAAAGGAGTTCCGGTCAGCGATAATCATTCTCAGAGTTCCTTTGTTCAGGCCATAGTTTCGATAGGTAGTCTCATTTGAATTGATCTCTCACCACTTGCTGACACTGCAACTCAATGGATCCAGCTTTGGTGAAGTGAGCTAACATTTTGGTAGGCCGTCAAATTTCGACCACCTTGGCGAAATCATCTCTAGTTAAGCCTACTTAAATATATTCTTTGAGCGTGGTAAACAGAAAATATTGGGAACAAAGTTATCTGTCTGTTGTTAGAGTTGTAAGAAAAATGCTTGGCTTTAACGTGCTAAATTGAATGGACGATATGCACTGTAGGTGTTTTATAACAGAAATGTGTGTTTTCTTTCTTAATGGCTCTTGTAAATTGAATAAGATTTTTATATTTAGGACCGATAGATTATTATTAATACGATAAATGCGAACAAAATCAACGAACTACATGCTCTCTGGATATCTGTTTCAGGTATACGGGGAGCTTCACTTCCGAAAGAAAGAGTTTATGTGGTCTAGGAAGTCGATGTGAATAAAACGTAGTTGATGTGTTGTGGACGATATCCATATACAGGTGTTCAACTTTTAACCTTTGACATTGAAAGAGGTTTGTGTATTTTACAACGTACATGGTTCCTTTTTTTTGGGATCTCAAACCTTGGAATTATATTGGGTGTCTGTACTGTCCATTTAGAGGCAGTCTAGATTGGTCTTGAGGATTTGGTTGCGCAAATTGAACCATACAGGTGTTCTTAATTGCTGATCTGTTAACTGTTTTGGCCTGTCTGTGGTGGCTTGGCCTGTTTATGCCAGACTGTCCTGGCTTATCCAATTCTACAATGATTCAGTTTCCAAAGTCTCAAATCATGCCCTGATTTTAGATTGTCATATGCATCTTTTGGATGATTTCTCCAATCTGTTGACATTCATAGTCTGATTCTTTACTGGATAAATATTTTTTAACTTTTACCAGTATTGTACTTTAATATTCTCTGGTTTCTTGCTCTTTCCAATCTATAATCAATGTTGCTCCTGATAACCAATTTCCTGCGCGTGATCATATAACTATGTGAATCAACTGATATGCTAAACTTAGCATCAAGGAAGAAATAAGTAAATCATTCAAGGATTTTCCCTTGATATTTCAGATATTGCATAAAAGGGTGTCTTGTTTTAATAAGAAGGTCATAACTGTTCCCCTTTCAACTAAGATATAGTTTGTTTCAAACTTTATGATGCCTTTAGTTTATTATTTGCCGTGCCATTAGTCTATATTTTTCCTTGCTCATCGAGTTAGATTTCAATTCCTATCAACATTGTTAATTCTTAGAGTCTTATGAACTTTGCATTGGATTCTCTGTTCTAATCTATGCTGAAACATAATAAATTGTGTAGGCATGTAATGACTTTGTGGAGCCTTCACTGGATGAACTCATAACTCAATTTAAGGCGGTTGGTGTTGGTGGTTTTGAATATGATTGGTTCGTCGATTGGTTAATTGAAGACTTAACTAGTCGTCTCTCAGCTCTATCTTCTCCAGATGATCTATACAACTTTTTTGAAAAGTTACGAGGTGAATAGTTTTAAACTTTTAAACTTTACACTCTACACTAAGAGCATTGTTTTTACGTTGCACTTAAATAATTTAATCGCTCTGAATTCCTTAGGCATTCTTTCACCCGCTGAGGTGACAAATATGGAAGATGAGCAATGCTTTCTGGATCCAAGCAGTCACCTGGGGGTGTTTATTCGCTGCTGTATATTAGCCTTCAGTATATTGACATTTGAGGTCTTTACTTCTCCATTCCTGTTTACAACTGTCTACCAGGAAATTTATGGATCATCTTTACTTTTTTTAGTCAAAATATCTTCAGTGCACTTATTTAAGTTTTTTTCTTTCTTTTGTGCAATATGTTAGCTGTTCAATCTCTTTATTACACAATGTAAAGTTCTTTTTGGTCTGTCATGTGCTGAAATCGGATGGCTGTTTTGTGGCCTGGTCTTGTCTTACATTTTTTCATAAAAAATGCAGGGTGTTTGTCATCTTCTATCCAATATGGCAGCATATTGTAATTCAACTGATCCGATGTATGGGTTGCCTGAAGAAGATGCTTTCAATACTGACCCTGTTTTACAAGAGTCTCATGAGTATCATGAATTAAATCGTGCTTCCGATAAATACATACATGATTTTGAAGCGGGATCAAGTGCTGGCGAGAGCTCTTCTTTTCACATCCAGGCAGGTAGGCCATTGTATGGAGTGCCTGATAGTAAACTATGTAACTGCTTGATCCTCTAGTTTGCTTTCTAGATCCCTCATTTTTATCCAACTGCCCTTTTCCAAGTCTCAAAAGAAAATAAAGATGGATGCTGCAGAGGATGAACATGGACGTAATACAAGCTTGTAAAATTGCTTGTTTTGCTTCTTTTGTTTCTTTGATTACTGAGAACATTGTTTTACCTTTCTGGTGATTCTGTTGGCCACGTTTTAATTATCATATCGACTTTTCCATTATTCCACAATTCATTTATATTTTTCTTTTAGATGTTGGGCATCCCCTCATCCCCTATGTGAAAAGTGAACTTCAAGATTAACAATAAGAACTCATCTTTGTGTATACTGCAGACACGGCTTAAACCAACATAGACTAAGTGGTCCACGTTCCCAAAAAATGAAAAATATATTAAAAAGTATGAGAGAGCACTGCATCCCTGGTCTGAATCATGGGCAAAACACTGCTGTATTGATATTAGAGGGGTATAAACGAAGCATGGTCAGGATAGGGAAGGCGTTAAATTTAGCCAATTATAGCAGTTCACATGGTTGTGGATGAATTTTGATGGTCTAAATGTTGTGCTATCAGAATCAGATTTACGTGTCTGGACTCTGTGGTGTGGAAGCAAACCAGCCTGTTGACTTGCAGGGTCTGTGAGAATGGGATGTCCTAATATCTTTGAAAAAAGAATGTTAGGAGGAAGGATCGGGGAGAAATTGTTAGACATGAAGGTTATTTGGTATGTGCAGAAGAGTGCGCAGATGAATCATTTGAGATTAAAATATTTGAGACGCTATGCGTCGTTTTAATTGTTGGTACATGATTAGAATAAGTACGTGTATATTTGGTAGAATAGAGTTCATTATGCACGTCTAAGATTTTTAGAAATGTTGTCTATTGATTTTCAGAAAAGTTCAGGCCTCACACTAACATGTCTATGGTATGATGGCAACGTTGTCATTGTTGTTGGAATTCCATGGTTGCATATTATCCAAACTCCCTCAGGCAAGTATTGATGCACTGGAGATGTCTGACAGGGATGGATGTTCATTGCATTAAATGCTTTAAAATTTTAGTGAATTGATCACTGTGATGCCTCGTTACGTAATTTGTGTATTACAATAACATTATGTGGGCATCATGGGCAGCGAGCAAGGGTCATTTCTTCCAAGGACCCGTGAATTTGAAGGAAGAGTTTACTCAGATATCTTATGTGTAGATTTAGAAGGCGATGATAGGCAGTTACATATCTTCCATGGACATGATGTTCAGTGGTCAAGTGGGCTTAGAACGATGGGGATTATTGTTCCTAGTCAATTTTACAGACCAACTTTCCAGGTGTATCTCTAAATTTAATTGTGGATATTTTCCTCTACGGAATTAACCCTCAAGGATTGTAAATGCATGTTGGCAGCCCGAGTTCCTTCCTATTTTCTTCATCAGTGGTTATAAAAACTTCATTCTGTTCAAGGACGCTGTCAAGGTCTCGTGATGATGAGGTAATCAAAAGCTGTCTTTTTGATGATCTGTGTACTGGCATATGGATTTGCTTACCTGTACTTTTTAAGATGTCTTGTAATTCGCTTGCAAAAGAAGGAGCTGAGATGTCTTTGGCATCTCCATGAAGCCAGGCAGGAGTTGCAAAAAACTAAAGAGTTCAATATCAGAGGTCATTGGGCCACTTGGAAAGGGTAAGGAGGATGCGGAATCGACTACAGGAGTCCTATGGATTCCCTCTCTGGGATGAAAGAAAATGAAAACGAAAATGTTTAGTTTTTGAGACAGGTTCATGCATTTGAATGTTTTTGGAATCCTCACCTAAAGACAGTCTGATGCCTTGACTTTCTTATCTTGTGCTTGATGCCTTTGCTATTTCCTCACTTAAAAAGCCATGCATTCTGATGAATGAGAGGATAAAGCTCTTCTAATATGTAGCATTTCAAAGCCTTTTGCAGCGAGGATTTAGAATTGAGAGAGACATTTTTAGACCACCAGTACTTTGGTTCTTTTGTCTTTTACCATGCATAATCATGTGTTTTCTTTCCTATGTAACCATTTTGTACGATCATTGTAACCGAGCATAATTAATGGTTCTTGAAATGAACGATATCTGCTCATGAACCTACAGATCTTCAGGGGTCAGTTGGCTCCAAGTTCAAAATTGGTGGCTATGGCACTCAAAGTGATGACTTTATTGCACCCATCACTGACTTATGCGAGGATGGTGAGTATCAGGGAGAACTTTTCTTGCGTTCAAAGTGGCAAATACAGGGTTACTTAAATGAGCAAGCCGATTTACTGGAGAGGTAAAACTATGCATTCTGAAACTTATTCGTAAACCTATGAATGAGATTTTGTGTTTGATATGTCTAATATTTCCTAGGCATGCTGGATCGTTCCGTTTTAATACATTTGAGGCAACTTTAAAGCATCTCCAGAAGATGGCCCCAGATATGCATCATGTATGATCCGTTTCCAGCTTTGTTTAGTTCATTATAATCTCTAAGTTTGCCCTATATTTCTGTTTGTGTCACATGACCATATAAAACCTTTTTCTAATTGTATCTTAATTCATGTTCCAGGTCAAGTACTTGAGATACTTGAATAATCTTTACAATGATGATTATCTTTCAGCTCTTGACAATCTACATTGCTATTTTGACTACAGGTATCTTTCTATTTGTCAGATTTGTTGCATCTGTTCCTGATCTATCATGATGTCTAACTGTTAATTTCATGAAAACTGCCTTCCTTGTGGGATAAAAGATTCCATCAATACTGGTATGTCCCTTCTGATTACTGCTCATTATCATGCTTGCCAATAGCTATCTTTTAAACTTGCGGAATCATAAGCTGCACGAATGATCTCTTTATGGAAACAATGTGACCGCCGAACTTTTTCTTTTCCTCAAGATGAGCCCGCCCACTGTCAAACCTGATTAGAACGAAATAAAACAGCACCTCCTGGAGATTTTGTTAAGGACAAAACTGTTTGAGGTTTCTGTGAACAAAGATCCTTTGATGAAATTTTTTATGTCGGCATTGAATTTATCTTGCGGTAGGACTTTGAATAGTTATACATTTTGTAGAAAAAAATGCAAAAGTTGGATCCTTCCATTTGCATATGATTTTAAGAGATAAAGCTATAAAATGGGATAATGCTTAGATTTTAATATAATTCTCCCTGAGCTACTATGATTTGAAAAAGCTTTCCACCCATACCGATTCCCTATGCCCCTCATACTGGTCAATAGATATCACATTTTGTCCTTATGATTGTATACAAACGGAGGCGGAGTTCCGAAACAATGCTCTCCTTTTGTGTTAGTCTCTGTATAAACGAAACAAGCTTAATATGAATTGGCATTGCCATCTCTAACGAGGGGCTGCGAGATCATGGATCATTGATTTTCAGTCTTCTGTTTTGTGCATTCTAATGTGGAGACTAATATCCAACTCCATGTACTCTGTTGTCTCAACGTTATTTTTCTGTGAAGGACCCTGCATAGTGAATCTTGTTACTAAACTACACGTAATTGGGTTTTAACAAAATAAATCGCAACCTATTGTGTTCCCTTGTTTATTACAAAACCGTGTTACATTTCTTCACTCAGGTTTATGGAAAAGTTTCCCTTCTTCCTTTTTGACATGGGTGATCTTCTATGTACCATCAGAACATTAAAACTGGTCGCAATATTTAAAGTGTTAAATCCGAGGAAAATTTTATTTTATAGGCTTTTCATCGAGTCTTAAAAAATATTTCTCCTTTGTCTGTGCTGTGGCCAATGCCATGCGAAATAGGCATTTTACTACTTAGCCGAGGCTCTTGATGCCTGCAAAAAAATGGCCAGCTGATGTACAGGTCCAGATGGAACTCCACCAAAATGGAGTTGGTTATCTGTGATAACGTCCCACAAGATGCTTGTATGCTGATTCAGTATGTGGCAAAGTATGTAGCTTAAGAAAGCCTGATGCTTGGCCTTTAAACTTTCTTTTGAGCTGGGTGTCCGATAACATGCACCGGCTGCTATACGCAATCTAAGAAACACGTGTCGGTTTGTCTTTGGTGATGAATACAAACTCTATAGTTGGATACATGAGGTTCATCTCATGACATTGAATGGCTTATTTAAGGGATTTGCTGGATCATTTGTCAGATTTTTGTTTATTCGGAACTAGGCATAGAGTCAGTCTATCGTAATTTGACACCTGCAATTGTTGACTAGCCATCCATCCATATTAAGAATTTACCATTCAATTCAGGTTGCCATTTTAATTGAACCAGTTCAATTAAGAAGGCGGTTCTTAGAATTGATTAATCCCAATTCAGATTGACCAATCTTGACATAAACGATCTCTGTCTGATCCGACGCATGTATTTGTCAGTGTAAAGTCTCTCTTGTTCGGGATTTGTCTGATTTTGGTCTGGGTCATCCTAAAATTATACTTTTCGGGATGAAGCAGCTATAGATTGTCCAGTCCAGCTCTGAGAGCCGAAGTGTGGCCAAACTTTACCGATTTTCTCAATTTTTGTTACGATCTGTTTCCTTGGGTTGACCATTGAATTTAGGATTCACCCATAAAGTGCAGGGATGGAAGGAATTTTTACTGGTTCATCTGCACCTCCTGTGTCTGGCATTCAAGTTGGACGGTATGAGTCTGCTTTGTTGTGCTTAGGCATCATGCACACTCGATTTGGGCACTCCAAGCAGGCATTGGAGGTGAATTTCCGTTCCTTTTCAGGGATTTATATTGATATCTCTGTTTTCATCATATTGTTATTTCTTAATGAGTTGTAAAATATACTTTTTTATTTTATCTATCCAGGCTCTGACTGAAGCGGTGCGAATATCTCAACAGGTAAACCAGTACATTCTATTTGAGATATGTTTTTTGCTGTTAAATGTATCACCTAGGTTGAATAACTTTCATTCTAAAAATCAGTTAGTAGATTATTTCTCGTTTTAGTCATAAAACATCATTGGGTGGAAGATGAATTGTTGCTGAGGTAGTGACCATTTTGGGCAGGCAAGTGAGTAAGTTAAAATTTGATTCAAACTTAAATTAATCAGATCGGTCAGTCAGATAGCTAACATCTATGAATTAACATCTAAACAGCTTGTCAGATCCTGATTTGAGGATGATGGTTTGTGGCCAGGAGAGGCCCCAGGTTAAGCCCCCCATTCCCTAAAAAGCTTTCCCATTCGTGGGGAGGCTGTGCTATTGATGGGGCAGACAGAGGGTTGCCTTAGTGCTATTTTGAAAATATTTGTGATGTCACATGGTCAATGGCCTGTAACCCTTTAACCCCTCCCTGTGACAAGAAATAAGGAAAAAAGTTGGAGCAGCTAGCCAAACACGTTACTGTGGTAATTCCTTCTGTCAGATCAGGGCGCTCAATGATTGTTTCTCATATCTAAGCAAAAAGGTCAGAAATAATTTGTCAAGTTCGTTCGTAAAGGTGGTCAAAGGATATAAATGCCAGGTACGAGAATCAGTATCACTTGAAATGTTCTGGGGAAATTCAATCCTGCGGACAACTATTCGGAAGATGTTTTACAATTATCCTGTCAACTGGAAGTTAAAGGATACAATGGAACTTCTGAGTTATGCCAACTGGTCATTCTTTGAACTTCAATAAGGTGGATTACATACACGCTCTTTTTGAATGTTTAGTCTGTCTACTCTCTGAGCTGATGAGTTTCGTCCCTCTTTTGGAAAAAAAACACTCAATTCGAGGTTTCAAACATCATTGCATTTGAATGTGTATAGGTGGATGCGTAACATCTTGTGTTATTACTGGGCTAAGGGATGCGAATGTTGTGGAATATTGTGAAGAGTCATAATTTGGTCGCAGTTTTTGTGATCTAATGACAAGGATCGCTCTTCTCTCCTTCGAGGATGAGAGAACTGTGAGCGCACACAGAATGCACGTTTCCTATTTCAGTGGAACTTTGGTGTGTGACACCTCTTTTTTGTAACTTTACCATAAGATAGAAATTTGGGAAAAATTGTTAGATCTCTAAAGAGGTGCATTTATTTTTCTAGTTCATTATAAATCACTTTCTTCCGGTTTGTGTATTAATCACTATTAGCAGTAGTATTTGATTAATGATTGATTATAGTTCTGATTCGAGTAACACATTCATCTTTCGAATGTGCATTTCATTTCTTCCTTGTAAGTTTTGGTGTGTGGAATTCATTTTCCATGGAAATTTAGAGAAAATGCGGTATCTTATGGGATGCATTTATTTTTTCTATAGCTTTTATGTAACGGCTTTCTTTAACTTTAGATATTTTTTATGAGTAGTTGATGATTAATTGTCGTATTTTTGCAGAATAATGATGATTCTTGTCTTACGTATACCTTAGCAGCCATGTGCGACCTTTTATCCAAAATTGGCATTTGTAGTACTAGTGGTATTATTGGATCTCAATATTCACTGGGACTAGGTACTCCACTATCAACCCAGCAACAATTGCTTGTTCTGCTGAAACGGTCACTAAAGAGAGCTGAAAGTCTAAAGCTTACATGTCTCGTGGCCTTCAATCGCCTTGCCCTTGCTGGATTCTATCTCAAGGTAAAGCAAAACACGCTACTCATGGACATTTGTCATGGAGGGTTGTGCTCACTCTTTCCGTTACGCACTTGTGTAGTCTTTATATTCATCTGGTGGCAAAGTGGCGTCTATTTGCACTACTTTATTCAAATTGTGTCAGACTAAGTTTCAGTTAATTTCTTCCCACATGCAAAAGTGTACCCATGTCTCATGTCATGCTTGACAATCTGATGTGTTGGGAAGTTCAAATGTGTACTCATCCTCGTACCTTTGTCATTGATCAATTTTCTTGGCTTTTCTGATTTCCAGCATGTGAACAGGCCATTATTATCCTTTGGTCCAAAAGCATCGATAAAGCTCAGAACAAACCCAACTCATGTCTGCAAGGTGCCAAGATGAAGCCACTATCCTATTTATTGAAAATTGTGTCTAAGTAAGTTTTTATTTGATTGGATCTTATCTGATGTCTTTTTTAACTTTTTATTTCTGCTTGCTGCAGGAACTGAGACTTAGTTCATATTTACTATCTGAATTTGGTTCAGATGGTCTCTCTCTGCCAAATGATGGTGGCACATTCAGCACTGCATGGCTTAAGAACCTGGAGAAATTGATAAACTCACCGACATCCTTTAATGGAAAGAGGACAAATGATTATGATACGTTTCACTTCACTTCTCAGCCGAATCCCATTCCCGGATCTGTACTGCAGCTGGCCGGTGCATCATATTTACTCAGAGCAACTTCATGGGAATTATATGGCAGGTAGGCCTTTTCCATTTGATTCGTGCTCATATGGTTTGTTTGGCAATTATATCTTAGTTGAAAACTTGTTTCTCAAGGGTTGACAAATGGTGATTTACAATTTTTTGCTCTTTTTAATCTTGGATGTCTCTTTCAGCTATTATAGGTGGATCAATAGACAGTTTGTTGGGGGTGGCTGTTGCTGAGAGGGCTAAGTTTTCTGAAACGTATTTTTGTACTAGTCATGGAGAATATCGCCAAATTAATGAAATAGAAAAGAAAGTGTACTGAATGTTTTCAAGTTCGTTAGAGCTCTGTGCAGTTGTTGTCACTGCTCTGTTCTTCCAAATTTCATATTTGAGTTCTCCATTTGCAAACATTAACAGATGCATTAACTTAGCCTAATGATCTTTGTATTTAGTATGATGAAGCGTTAGTGGTGTTCTTCCTGTAAATATGATTACAAATCACATAGACAATTTTTAGAACGTCTGATTAAGCCGTTACTATCTTTATTTCAGTGCCCCACTTGTTCGATCAAATGCATTAATATATGCGACCTGTTTTGCTGATTCTGCAAGGTAGCTTCGTACACAGTGTTTTCCATGTTTATCTGTAGAGTTGACTTTTTATTCTCTTTTCAATATGATTTCAGCTTGCAATTTTACAAGCATAAGTGTAACATCATATTTGGTGTTTCAGTTCGTCGGAGTTGTCTCTGGCATATTGCAAGCTCATTCAGCATTTAGCTGTATTCAAGGGATATAAAGGTACATTCATTCATTTCTGGTTTCTCTTGTAATTCTTTTCTCATGGTTTTCTGTTTCTTATCGGACATCCAGTCTTACTGTCTTATCATCAGAAAAAGAAATCTCCAATCACTTATAAGTTACCTTACTGGCTATTCAAACTTCAATTTAATCATGTGATCTTGTAACACATAAGACTGGTTAGAAATTTAGTCCTATTTTTTGAAGCGGTACACTATTTCCACCCCATTGTAAGCTTAATTGGTCTCAGACACATTTATCTATAATCTGCTGTGAATTATTCTTTTTGCACTCAGCATGATGATACACGCACCATGTTATGTATTTTGGAAAAGAATCCTTCAGTTCGCAGTTTTCACAAAAGCTCCAAACTTAAGTTACTGTTTGACATTGAGTTCAGAGTTCACTGACTGAATTGTACCATAAAGGACGTTCTCAGGTGTCCTAAATTAAAATGGTAATCTGTCTTTTAACATATTTTTTATAAATAGAATGTAAACTAATGGCTCAGTCTGTGGTATCACTGCTGTACCCTAGTTAAATAAATAAAATAAATATGCTAGAGAAATGAGAAATAAAATAAAATAAAATCCTGAGAAACTCTTATTACCATCCAATGATAGTAACAAAACTATGGAAAATGGCTCATTTTTATTATGAAAATACATTTCAGATTACCAATCAGAAAGAAAAAGTGACTAAAGTTTCATAGGTCCACAGAGTTTTGGGATAAACTACAAGCTGATTCATAAATTGTTTCTCAGGTGAAAATTCTTCGAATATCACTTCTCGAACCAGAGGAGTAAATATTTCGCAAGAACAATGAATGCCAGGATCTTTCATACAAGTGAATCCATATATGCCTAACATAAAGTTTAGTGATACTCCCTAGAAGTCCACGATCTCTGGGTGTAATAGTGTCAGTAACGTGGCGAAATGCCTCCACTAGAAACACATTCAATAGCTTATGCACAGATTCTCCTGCTGATAAAGGGTCCTTGCTCACAGTAGTCTATGGTGTTGGAGATACAGTGGGCTCCACTATGGAAGGAAAAATCAGACAATGTCAAATAGAAAGGATTGTGCATCAGGGCTAAGGACAGGGATTATGATTTATCAGGTTATTTAGAAAACCTTATTTATTATATTTTTTGCAATCATACCTTTTCTGTGTTTTATATGGAGCACATACTTTAGTATCGTAAATACATCATTTTTAAGGAGGGAGACTCAAGTGTATCTTTCTTAGGTTCTTACCCAATCTGTCAGCTGTCTAGTCAGGCAAAAGAGAGACGCAGACTGTCCTATGCAGATTCAGGTTTTGAACAGAAATCTATTGCACATCTGCATATTAACTCTTGTTTCATAATTGCATTGACGAAAGATGTACAATCAAATCCCATCAGATTGACTGCCCTTGCTGATTTCTTTTAGTTTACTGGAGTCTTGTTATGTAGTTGCTCGTGAGAGAAAATGTAATCAAATAAATTGAATCGTTTTTATTTTAGCGTAAAACCTGTGTCTAGAGTTTTTATGATCTTGGTATAATTTTTTGACTAAGTTGGGTTCCATAGCCGTGGATATCATGGAGGACACATAATGTTTTATATAGTTTCCTCGTGTCTGAGTTCCACCATACTCTTTTATGATGGATGAAACCATTATAAAAAGCCACCACGGATAAAAATTCATAGTATATTTCTCACTCGTTTTTATAGTGAAGGCAGGAGTATTTTGTATCAAATAGGTTTGACGTGAATGATTCTCTATTAAAAACCGTAACTCACATCAAACTGAATCGAAGGGCTGCTTTTTATCTCTTGTTCATTATTTGCTCAATTCAAGGGAACGGCATGTGTGCCTGTTTGCTTCATAATTGATACATCAAGCAAGGTAGGTATATGGATATTATAAGATCCTGATTATTTAAGTTCCCGCTTGGATTATAGATGAATGATCTGCAGTATTCTTATTGCAGAAGCTTTCATCGCTTTGAAGTTAGCTGAGGAAAAGTTCTCATCTGTATCAAAATCACATATTCATTTACTTAAGTTCCAGTTGCTACATGAACGTGCCTTACATCGGTAATGACTCCTGACTACAGTACTTTGCAAAAATCTCTAGATTCGCTTAACTTGATCGGTATGTTCCAGAGGACAACTGAAACTTGCTCAACAAGTGTGTGACGAACTTGGAATCTTGGCCTCATCAATAACTGGAGTTGACTTGGAGCTCAAAACGGAGGCAAGCATACGCCTTGCTCGCACTCTACTCGCAGCTAACCAATTCAGCCAGGTACGCTTCGCCCTCGAGGCGTGTTCATCGTGTATATCGTCAGATGCTAAATACATAAAGAATGGAGTAAATATCTGCTATGTCAAGAAATGCTACCGTGGGTTTTTGTGACTGGCAAACCATAAGCATCTTTGATGCCATATCATAAGTTCTTTCTTTCATCTTGATTTTTGGTTAGGACCATATTCAATTATACTGTCAACTTAGAATGATTTAATTTTAACTTCTCTAAAATTTTATGTCATATGTTAACCTTCAGTTGAGAGAGTATACTAGATGAAATTTGGGCTAATTTAACTGGATCAGTTAAATTTTATGGTTTGATAGTGCGTCTAATCTGAAAATTAGGGATGAAAGATCAGTAGCGTACGCATTCAAAGCTCCTTGCGTTAACATTGTGAGCCTGTTTATGCATATTGAGAAAAGGGCCTTTAAAACGGATGCTCGAGTACCTATTTGCCAAAAATCTCACAATCAGAGTTCTGCTCACAATCCACATTTTCCAACTGGAAAGAAGGATCCTTTTTTTTACACCAAATGGCCAGTTGAATTCCACTTATAGAATATATCGATATCTGAGATGGAGTTGTGTGGAAATGACTTTCCCTGCACAGTAAGTGCCGTAGGATAAACCTGTGAATGTTCATGAAAGACAAAGGAACGACCTAATTTTCATGTGTATGTATTCAGAGATTATCGCAGTTCTCTTTGCAAGCAATAATGTTGTGAGACAAGATGACATAAATGGTCTCGTTGCTAAACTTTTGCATCTAAAATGGCCTCTTTCTAGCATAAGACCCCGCAAATGATCATCGTCTCGCGGGGGAAAGGAGTTCTTTTTACGTAAGTAAGAGACTCTTATAGTTTTCTCTGGGTTTGACTTTTTGCTGGATGGGATTTCTCTTCCCCTCTATTTATTTGGCAGGCAGCAGCAGTAGCATGTTCTCTTTTCTGTGAATGCTACAAATTCAACCTGCACGTTGAGAACGCCACCATACTTCTATTGCTAGCAGAAATCCACAAGGTGAAGTTTAGTCTTCATTCACATCTATCACTCAGAAGAGGGGACCCCCTCTATTTATTTGCTTAAAAAATTGAGATCGTTTCCTTCTTTGCTCTGCAGAAATCTGGAAACGCAGTTCTGGGCCTTTCCTATGCATTGGCAAGTTTATCTTTTTGCCGGACGTTTAACCTGGATCTGCTCGAAGCATCCACCACCCTTACCATTGCCGAGTTGTGGCTGTCTCTCGGCCGCAGTCACGCTAAGAGAGCATCTAATCTGGTGCATCAAACGCTGCCGATGATTCTCGGCCATGGAGGCCTTGAACTACGCGCCCGAGCCAACATTGCTTTCGTGAAGTGTCACCTCTGCGATCCCAGTTTTTCAGGTGCGCTTTCTCACCTTCTTCTGCTTCATTTTGCCGCCGAATAGCTCTGGCCCTAGAAATCAGAGCTGAAGCTCTCCTCTCGGATCATTCCGTTTCTGCCTGTTCTTGTGAATAATCCCTTGATGAACCCTTGTGAGTTTTTACTATTTCTGGGCACCAGTTTCTGATGATGCGGAGATGGTACTGGATCCTTTGAGGCAAGCTGCTGAGGATCTGGAGACTCTGGAGGTTCGTGACAGAGATCCTCACCGCCCAATTCCCCTGTTATCCGCATTTATTTCCATTGGCTTCAAGATCTCATTCAATGAAAGCATATATAATCCAAAGGAACTGACAATTCCGGTCTGCTGTGGGGGGGCGCATCCAGTTTCATGAAATGGCCGCCGAAGCATTCTACCTGGCCGCCGTGGTCTACGACGCGCTGGGGCGGGCGGAGGAGAGGGAGGCGGCGGCGGCGTCTTTCAAGAACCACATCGTTGCTCTTGAAAACCCGGGTTCGGGTTCTGAAGATGAACAGAGGAATTTGTGATAGTTGTTAGACCTCGAGGGGAAGCTCTATGCGACCAGCTAGCTGCTCAAGAATCTGCTGCTGGCTTCAGGTATCAGCCTTCGACTCCTTTCAAACCCATTTTGCCTGTGCAAAGTCTTTCGTTGTTTATATGGGAGGGGCCAGCTAATGTGTATAGTTTGTATTGGATTCTCGGTCACCCACCCTGGGTTGTCATAATATACTGGTCTCTCTCTCTCTGTCTCTCTCTCTCTGTCTCTGTCTCTCTCTCTCTCTCTCTATCCTAGTGTTCTTGATGATCGATTCCGGAGGCATGCAGCGAGAACAGTGGTTTAAAACTGAGTCAGGTTCATGTTTTCATCTTTTTTAAGAGCCTCCCAGTTTAATTAATCTTGAATGGTTTATGTCTGTGTGTGTGTGTGTGTGTGTGTGTGTGTGTGTGTGTGTGAGAGAGAGAGAGAGAGAGAGAGAGAGAGAGAGAGAGAGAGAGTGCAGATTATCTTACAGCATATAGAAACCTTTCTTAATCCCTATTGGGGTTGGATTAGTTAGGTTGGTTGATCCATGGTGGATAATTGGGTTCAAGTTTTATATGAAAAATGAGAGATAATCTGCTTCATAATACTATGCATTAAACAACTAAAATAAAATAAAAAGTATCAGAAGAATGGTGCATATTTTTTGGGTATTTCCTAGAGAACTCCTTTTGAGAAGCTGGATTTTGTGGAAATCTATACCAAAAGACCGGATGAAGAATCAATTACTAAAATATCCATAAGTTCTCCATAATTTTGGGGTCAACTCCTAAAGAGGAATTTTTTTAATAAAATATTTTCTCTTCTTTTTGAGGATGTTTATTTCTTTTGGTAATTTACCCTTTAGAAGATCAATTTTTATATTTTTATTTCATTGCATGATAATCATATTAGTTCCATCAAAGCTTTGGATTTTTATTTTCTTGCACGTTATTACATAAATATATTAGAATTTCAACAATAATTAATATTTTTTCATTGTTTCATATCTACATAAGGCCTGAATACATTAATTTCTAGGGAATATTTCCTATCATATGATAACATTCTAGGTAGCTTAGAATATGAATTATTACTAAATAATTTGAAATAAAATCTTAAAATTTTTAAGTCACATCTTTTTAAGAAAAAAATTCAGAATCATTACGATTAGTTTTTCAGCAAATAAAAAAGTCAATTTCTCTCTCTCTCTCTCTCTCTCTCTTGACTTCTTTAACCCAAGAAGGGAGTCACACGAGGAGCCTAAGTTTCGGGCTTTTCTCTGGGTAACCGGGCCCGGCCTGTTATGCCATTATTTGGATTCAAAACCGACATGGGATCCGAAACCCATGCCAGCCTGTCGTCTCGTCCACCCCCTGCGGATGACGTGGACGCATACGGACTTGAAGCAACTGCAAACCTTGCGCGGCCCAAAGCTCCACTCTTTTCCTCCCTCTCCCGTCTATAAAAACCCCGTCTTTCCCTCCCCCTTCTTCACCGCGCTCCTCGACGCTGTGGGAAGAGATTCTACCGTGGAGGCGCCCAAACGCTCCCGTAGAACCCTTCCTTCGTCCTCCTCGCCCCTCGGCCCCTGGTCTTGTGAAACCCCCGAATCGTGCCAGTTTCTTCTTAGGGGCTTTTGGGAGGCGCTGAACACGGTGAAAGGCCGGCGGTAACTGCCCTGCGTGGTCTCCGGGGAGGAGCAGCCTCGTTGCGGACAAGAAGAGGTTGGGCCCTCCCCCCGGCTTCTCGAGCTGTCTGTATCTGTTCCTTTTGGGGCCCTGCTTTGCGGTGCTGTTTTGCCGGGAAAGAAAATGGGCGGATCTGCCTGAGGGTAGCTCCAATCTAACAACTTCTCGGGAAACAAACTTTGGGAGTAACCACTGGGGGAAGGGGGGGAGGGGGCAAACCTTTCCGGTGGAAAATCAGAAGAATGTCAATGTGTTTGATCTCACTTTAAATTAATGAAACAATGGCTCCCTTGAGAATGGGTTACATGGGAATTCCAGGAAAGATGTTAGTCCCCTAGAAATTGTTCCATTTCCCATTCTGCCATCCGCCTGTTTATCTTCTCAGTTTATCAGTGCTGTTCTATGCGAGCGGATTCTTTTCGAAAAGTTTTGTGAGTACCTTTTCATTTTACCATGCGACAGACGGTGTGTCTACAATTGTTGATGAAGATCATTGTTTTTCTACCTGCGTGATTCAGAGGATGGAAAATGCCAATTGGTAGTAAACTTTAGTCTATTTTCTTGCTTGTATACAATGCAGCATTTACGTTTTACTCGTTGTAATTGCTTGTGCCTCGCTGGTAGCGCATCTTTGCCATTTCCTATGATTTTTTTAGGAAGATGATGGCGGCATCTCTCAGGGAGCCTTCCAGGTGTTGTGGGTTTATTTATCATAATCATGGTGATGCTTTTTTGCAACTTTTGCGATGCAAGTGTGGTCTTTTTTGGGGTGAAAGGGAGCGAGTAGGTTAGCATACTTCTTGTGGGCTTGTCAAGGAGAAACTTCCGAAGAAAAAGATCCTGGGAAGAGTTGCCTCCACAGTGATTCTTCTGGCTCACTGACAATGTCTGAGGATCCAGTGGTCTTGTGCTGTCTAGGGGCTTTTTAATGCAACGATATGAAAAATTTAATGTATCTTCCTTTTGGAATGAAGTTAAAAATAATAAAAAAAACAACTATGGTTAATGTTCTTCCTCTGCTTGTGGATTCGACATCATGATATTTCTTGCAACATTTCCATTCTCTCCTTTTTTTTTCCCAATTCTTCTTCCTAGTAGATAGATTCTTTGCCTATCTTGAAAAGTTTTGGTCGACTGCTTTTCTGCCTCATATCTACGCTTTGCTTTCTTTTCTTTGATTGAAACTTGAAAAACTTCTCTACTGACAGATAGAATATTTTTTGAAGGTTTCCATGTATTTGCTCATGCCATGGGTTTCTATGGTGCGGGGTTCCGTGGTCTCAATAACTTCCCTTCTGACGAGGAGGCTGAGAATGAAGAGTTGATTAGAGTTCAGCCCCCAAAGTCTCATCCCAGAAGTTTATGCGTCTCTTTTCTTTTTTCAAACATCAGAAGGATCTCAAAGGCTTCTAGACCAGGTACTCACACATCCTCAGGCTCTGGATTTCAACATTTTTTTCAGTTTTAAAGATGTGTGCAGGCATTAACGGGGTTTGCTTTTCAGAAGGTCAGGAGAGGAGCTGTAAATTTTTGTGTCATCTTCGACTGTAGAGAATAAGCAGAGTAATCAGTCTGTGGGAGTGTCTTCCTTGGTTCCTCCTACTGCTCAGCTACTTGAAAAAGAGGAAGGAGAATGGTCTGAAACTGGCAACATGGATGCTGTGGAGGCTAATGCAGGCAAAAAACGGAATGTGACCGGTAAAAGTGGCTCCCTGCAACGACAAGGAGGTGAAAGTGATGAATCTTTAGGTTCTGATAGATCTTTGGGAAAGATGTCCTATGATTCTTGTCTTCTGACTTGCAACAAGGATAGACGTGGCTTGCTCAAAGATGTTGGCAGACATTCTTCTTTGGAAAGCAGAGGTTCACGTTGCGGTTCTAAAGGAGATGTGCCTGAAGGTGACTTGGAGGAGCATTCACTGGCTGTGAAGCCAAAAGTTATCCGAGGTGTCGAAGCGCATCGTTCTTTAAAAGCTGCAAATATCATTAAGACGAGGCCTACACTTGATAAGCTTCAGGAGGCAATGCCAGGAAAGAAAAGAAACAGACAAGCCGTTTTTCTTGACATTGATGAGGTTAAACAAGCAGGTGCACTTAGTAGTTTATCTCTGAAGAGACATTCATCCTTTCCTTCCTCTATGCTCACTCGTCAGATAAAAGAAACAAGCCATGCCACCTCTGCTGTGGATGAACAGACGGTAGAAAGCCCAGCCCAACATGCAACCAAGGAGCAGAGAGAAACAGACCCATTGAGTGGTGAAGGAAATGCGCTGTCCGACACTAGTGACCAAGGAGAAGAATCTAATACTGAGGTAGATGCAGGTCTCGACGGTCGACTTAAGAAGACAAGTAGCGGTAATGAGCTTTTTGCTGAACTGAATCCACTGCAGATCCAAAGGCAAGGCTCATGGAAGCAGTTTGCAGACTCAAGGCAGCCTCGGAACCGACAAGCCTTGTCAAGTAAACCAACGGTTTTTGGCCAAAGTTTAGGAAATAAAAGGGATCATCCAGCAATGAAGAAAACTACAAATAGCATGGTATGCCAAGATACGTCAATTCAACGACTTTTACGAGAGGTTACCAATGACAAATTCTGGCATCATCCTGGTAAATGTTCTTCTAATGCCTTTGTTTTTAATTGATTTTACATCCATCTGGATTTTCTACATCTCCAGTTCTTCGGCGCATTGATTTTGATGCCTTTTTAGTTACCTAAAGGTAAAAAAGAAAGCATGCCTGCTACATTCAGGAGTTAGGAGAGAAGTGTACCTACCCTGAAATACCAATGTCCGTCTATTGAATTTTCGTGTCATGCTTATCTAAAGTTAATAGTTGATAGACGTATGATTGTGCACATATGATGGAATCCTATTATCTTCACTGATAATCGTTATGAATGCTATTATATTTTGCAGTCACAGCTGTTAACATAGATTTGAGACGTATGTAAGAAAGGTGTAGTTGTTCAATGTTGATCTTGCATTCTCCTTATCTCTCTCTCTCTCTCTCTCTTGTGCGCGTGCATGTGCACTAGGAGACCATAGTTCTGTTCATTTTTCATTGGTCAATATTATCTTTGGTTTTTATTTTAATACATCCTTGTACTCTATTGAAAATTTCATGCTTATCCTCATATGGAATCTTGATTATAATTCAAACATTCTGATGAATTCAGAGGATTCTGAGCTCCAGCGTGTCCCTGGAAGTTTTGAATCAGTCGAAGAGTATGTGAAAGTGTTTGAGCCCTTGCTTTTTGAGGAGTGCCGCGCCCAACTCTACAGTACTTGGGAGGAGACTACAGAGGCAGCATCCAGGGACGCACATATTATGGTTCGTGTAAAGACTTTGGAAAGGAGGGAAAGAGGTATGTACGTGCACGTGTGGTGCTTAATATGTTGTTTATTTTTTACATGAGCGTTACTATTTTCCTTCTTTATGTCTTGACTTACTATAATTTATGTGTCATCGATGATGCAACTTTTTCCCATTAAACCACTCAGTTTTCTTTCATCTAGTTGAGTTTTCGCTTTCCTGAATGGTGATGAAGCATTCACAGGTGATCAGGCAATCTTTCATTCTAGAATCTATGGCTACACAGTCACTTTCTCCTCTGTTTCATTGCGTAGGAATGAATGCATGCAGCTGATAGCTCTATTAGGAAAAAAAATCTTCATTGTTGCATTACTAAGTAGTCTGATGAAACTCTCTCCAAGATGACAATCTGGAGTTCCATTAAAACCCCGACCTTTCAAAAGGGGAAAGAAATCATCATATTTTTCTGGGTTAGTCCATGGAAATACTCAATTATCAGATAGATGTGTAGACATACTTATTTCGGACATAAAGAACCAATATTCCATTTCATACGCTACATTTTCATACGATACAATACATCTTATTCGTTACAATTTTTTTGTTTCATACGATACATGTAAGTCACTTAATTGCTACATGAGATCTTGAATGTCTATTGAACACCATGTTCTAATAAGTGACACAATGCTCATTTGACAAGGCTCTGAAGGGACCGTCATAATTATGCCAAGAGCCATGGTTGCTGTTGGTCAGAGTGATGACTTTTGGGTGGGTGACTGCAAGCCTTTCTATCATTGTGGAGGAGCTACTTATGAGACTGTTTCTTCTGCGTATGTCTTGCAGAATCTGCAGCCTGTCAGGGGGCCATTTCACTGGGTATCCTCGTGAGCCTGAGGTGGCCTCATTGATCTAACTGCCCGTTTGTCATGTTATCAATTTGAAATTGATACGGATGAGCTTTTTTCCATTGCTGCAATTGGGCTAATAAGGTTCTTAAATTAGTCTTCTCCTTTGAACGATATTCAGCCAGAACATATGGTGCCATTTATAGCATCATCTCTTCTCCTGTCGCTATAAAATTATACTAAATCTTTTGTGAAATAAAAATCAATTTCGTAAAAGCCGTATTAAAATGATTAATCAAGACATTAACCTTTCATTGTTGCACCTGCATGCATTTGATGTGTTCTTTTCACCTGATTGTTTATTCATAGACTTCTTTTTTTACATTTTGATCCTGAAATTCCTGGTTTGTTCTTATATCTCATGAGAAATGAGGAGTTCAAAAACTCTGTTTGTCTTTATCATCATTTCTGAAAGTTCAAAGAATAATAAAAAAAAAGATATTAGATAGATATGGACAGATTTTTATATAATGTATAGCGGTGGATGGAAAAAAGTTGGAAGGGAATTTACTATTTATGGAATTTTGATCGTAGACTCGCATGATCATTTTTTTAGAGGGATGCGCATTAAAAGAAAAAGGTTGATTTTCGTTGGAGATGTTTCAAAAAATGTTGCCACAAATCATCAAACTGCGATTTAATTAGGAAAAATTGGCATTTTCCCTTTGACTGGCCAGCTTAATCAAATCTCATCGAATTGGAACCGGATTGAGCCTGATCAATCCAGATTCCTATCCTACTTCTATTAGCCTAGCCTTCTCTATCAAGTCGATATTTTAGAAATATCTGAAGGACTATGTAATGATTTTACTTTTGACTTGTCTTGATTAGGTAATAATTAGTGCTGGACTATATAAAACATTTCATATGAGTGTCTCATTCACCATAAAGGTTCCCACTACTAAATCTGCCATCTGATCGAGGCTGATTTTAATTTTTTTACTAAAATGGGAACTACCTGTTTTAGAACGACCTAAAAGTACCCACTTTGATGTTATCTTGGTACGCCTGTCATCAAAGACTAATTCTTAACCTTAGATTAATTAAAATATTACCTTATTTTCCCATTGTTCTTGATTATCTTACTTCTTTATTGCAATAGGCTTGCGACTAAGCCCCATATTTAATGTGCTCTCATAATCTTTTTTTGCCCAGGATGGTATGACGTTGTGGTCCTTCCAGTAGTGCATGAATGTAAGTTTGCCTTTAAAGAAGGCGACGCCGCAATCCTCTCATCCTCAAGGCCCAGTTCAGGTCTGCATGCGAACATTTTCTCCATTATTTACTTATTCAGGATCAGATAAATCTTAACACCCCCCCAAAATCACCAATGCAGTCAGATCCAGGAGGAAGAAGCATGTTGGCCCGAGCAAGGGGAATGTGGGTGCAGAGAGTACCCAACAAGTGCTTGGTACTGTGAGGAGGCACACTCCTATCGACAAGCGTGAGCCCCATGGTGCTGTTCTTCACTTCCACGCTGGTAATTTCTCAAACAGGTATTAAACAGCCGCAGAACGTAGTTTCCTGTTTAAATCAGATCAATGTAGCATGTTTTCTGGTGTATAAAGTTCATGTAGCATGTGAAGCTATCTAGCAGAAGTGGGTAGTGGGAAGCTGCCATTTACTATGATTGTAACATACTGGGTCAACTTCTGGGTCTTTTAGATGATCATATGTTACTGCGATCTCTTGAGAGAATTTAAGAAAAACTAGGCTTCTGGGTGTCTCCAGATAATTGTATGCTTTGAACTAGAAGCTGATCTGTGTGTGTGTGTCCTGCCTCCTTGATCGCCAGCACGGTCGAGGATGATCATATTCTGAGGAAATTCCAGCCGAGGAGTGTCTGGCATCTCACAGTGCTTGGTTCTCTCGCCACAACTCAGCGCGAATATCTCGCCCTGCACGCCTTCCGCCGCCTCAATCCGCAGGTGAAGAGCTTGAAGCTGTTGATGATGGAGTTGTGTCTGTTTTCTTCAAGCTGGTTCCTTTCCTGTCGCTGAGAGAGCTCGTGTGGTTTGCAGATGCAGGCGGCGATTCTCCGGCCCAGCCCCGAGCGATTCCCCAGGTACGAGGAGCAGTGCCCGGCCATGCCCGACTGCTTCACGCCGAGCTTCGTCGAGCACCTGCGCAGGACCTTCAACGCTCCGCAGCTGGCGGCGATCCAGTGGGCCGCAATGCACACCGCCGCCGGCAGCGGGGGCGCCACCACGCGGAGGCAAGATCCATGGCCCTTCACCCTGGTTCAGGGCCCCCCAGGGACCGGCAAGACCCACACCGTCTGGGGGATGCTCAACGTGATCCACCTCGTTCAGTACCAGCGCTACTACACCGCCCTCCTCAAGAAGCTCGCCCCCGAGAGCTACAAGCATAGCACCGACAGCTCCTCCTCCGAGGGCGGCGGCGCCTCCAGCGGTGGCGGTGGGTCCATCGAGGACGTGCTCCAGAGCATGGAGGAGAACCTGTACCGGACGCTGCCGAAGCTCTGCCCGAAACCCCGGATGCTCGTCTGCGCGCCGTCGAATGCCGCAACGGATGAATTACTCTCCCGGGTCCTCCACCGGGGCTTCATCGACGGCGAGATGCGCCGCTACCGGCCGGACGTGGCTCGGGTGGGCGTCGACTCGCAGAGCACCGCCGCCCAGGCCGTCTCCGTCGAGAGGAGGACGGAGCAGCTCCTACAGAAACCCCGCGAGGAGGTGGCCGCATGGATCCGCCAGCTGAAGCTCAGCCAAGCCCAGCGGTCGCAGGAGATCGCCCGCCTCCAGCGCGGGCTCTGCGCGGCGGCGGCCGCCGGCAGGTCTCAGGGCTCCGTCGGCGTCGAGCCCGACGTGCTCGCCGCCCGCGACCGCCACCGCGACGCCCTGTTGCAGAGCCTGGCGGCGGCGGTGGAGAGCAGGGACAAGCTGCTGGTGGAGCTCTCGCGGCTGCTCATCGTCGAGCAGAAGTTCCTCGCCGGCGCCGGGCGCAGCAGCTTCAGCCTAGCGGAGGCCAGCGCGGAGCTGGAGGCGAGCTTCGCCGACGAGGCCGAGATCGTCTTCACCACCCTCTCCAGTAGCGGCCGGCGGCTCTTCTCCCGGCTGACCCACGGCTTCGACATGGTGGTCATCGACGAGGCGGCGCAGGCCGGCGAGGTGGCGGTGCTGCCGCCGCTGGTGCTTGGAGCGGCGAGGTGCGTGCTCGTCGGCGACCCGCAGCAGCTCCCAGCGACGGTGATCAGCCGCGCCGCGGGGTCCCTGCTCTACAGCCGGAGCCTGTTCGAGAGGTTCCAGCAGGCGGGCTGCCCCGCCATGCTGCTCTCCGTGCAGTACAGAATGAACCCGCAGATCAGAGACTTCCCCTCCAGGCACTTCTACCAGGGACGCCTCGCCGACGGCGACATCGTCCTCAACCTCGCCGACGAGCTCTACTACAGAGACCCTCTGCTGAAACCCTACCTCTTCTTCGACATCTCCCATGGCCGGGAGTCCCACCGCGGTGGCTCCGCCTCCTACCAGAACCTCCACGAGGCCCGCTTCTGCCGGGCCATCTACGACCACCTCCACCGCGTCCTCAAGGCCGGCAGCGCCGCCGCGGCAGCCACCGGCAGGGTCTCCGTCGGCATCATCACCCCCTACAAGCTGCAACTCCGCTGTCTCCAGAGGGAGTTCGAGCCCGTCATCTCCTCCGAGCAGGGCAAGGACCTGTACATCAACACTGTCGACGCCTTCCAGGGCCAGGAGAGGGACGTCATCATCATGTCCTGCGTCCGCGCTTCCGGCCATGGCGTGGGCTTCGTCGCCGACGTTCGCCGGATGAATGTCGCCCTTACCCGCGCCAGAAGAGCCTTATGGGTGACCACCCCCTCTTCTTCTTCTTCCTCTTTTGCTCTTCCACTTCTAATGGCGGCGGCGTTAAACTGGGCTCTTTCGTCCTCCCTGGCGCAGGTGGTGGGGAACGCGAATGCCCTCGTGCAGTCCGAGGACTGGGCGGCGCTCATCGCCGACGCCAAGTCGAGGAAGTGCTACATGGACGTGGGGGATATCCCGCCGGAGTTCGCCGCCGTCCCCAGAGGATCTGGTTTTCCTCCGCCGGCGAAGATGGTGCCCTCCGGCGAGAGGGGATTGAGGCAGTCAGAGACGCCACTGATGGCGGGTAAGCTCCCAAGCTGAAGGTGGCGAGAAGGGGAACGCCTGTCGCCGGCGCCATCGCTGGTTGTGGCGCTATCGAGGACGAGACTAGTCAGCCTCCGGTCACACTGCTAACACTTGGGCTACGGCGGTGCCCGCCCGCCGGCCGTCCAATGGCGGCGGCGGCAAGCAATCAATTCACCGCCACTTGTGCACGGCGGCGGCCGGCCAGTGGTGCTCCTCACCTCCGGGGAGCCCGGGGGAGTTGCCCTACCTTCTTTATAATTTCCTCTTCTTCTTCAACGAAGTCTGAAGGTCCGCTGCGTCTGCATCACCCTTCCTGGTGGGAGCTCGTTCCTGAAACCGGTTCAGTCGTACCCACATACGTTGAGAGAGAGAGAGAGAGAGATGTTGGGCCATTTGTAGAATGGGCCGGACTTCTTCATTGATTATTTCGGCCCAAATGATATTCCACTATGGCCCGGGTTTCTTCGGTCGGGCCCACCAGATCTGCCGACTTGAGGGTGGAATTGTAAGACAGCCAGGGCCATGAGGGAGGGGCATGTCTCCAAATCTCTCACGCCGAACTACAGTGTAAGTGGTGGTGTTGGTCATATACACAAATGTGAGGGAGGAACTTACAGATTGTTTAACTTGTAAGGGGCTTTTAGTCGAAAAATAGACAATAAAAGCTTGATTGACCCATGGTGAGAGAGGGTAGAAGCTACGCTCTCGGGGACAATTGGGGGTTTCGCCCTCGTCGCGGAGAGAAGAGAAGAGCATCGCCGGGAGAGACGGTGGTGGCTGTAGATTGATGCGGGAGTTCGATCGCTTCCTGGAGTGCCTCCTCCTCCTCCCTTCTCTCCAGTAGCCGGTGCCGATCTCGACGACGGAGGCCGCCGATCCCGCCCGATCCGGTCGCCTGCCTGTCGCCGGATCTGAGATCTGGAGGTCAGTCCCCATTTCCATCCTCCTCAGTGTGTGTCGGCGCCAGATCTGTGAGCCGATGGATGCCGTTTTTTGAGTTCCTGCGTTCGAGTCCTCCGGGATTGCCATTCCGCTTTTGGCTTTGTTTCTGATCTCTGCTGGCTGAATCTTCCCGATCTTATTGCTAGGGTTTTCAGTTGAGTATTCCTGTCGCTGAAGTGAGGGGGAATAGAAGATGCTGACCAAGTTCGAGACAAAGAGCAACCGGGTGAAGGGGCTGACCTTCCATAGTAAGCGGCCATGGATCCTGGCGAGCCTACACAGCGGTGTGATCCAACTGTGGGACTACCGTATGGGCACACTCATCGATCGTTTTGACGAGCATGATGGTCCTGTCCGCGGCGTTCACTTCCACAAATCCCAGCCTCTCTTCGTCTCTGGAGGTGTTCCCTCCTGCTACACTCTAACCCTGCTCGCAGTTCTTTTATCCTCTTTCAGTTTATCACTTCATGATATTTTTCCTTTTATCTTTCGTGCTTTAAGGTATAATTTTCCTTCTTATCTAGTATTAAAATTATCGTTTTGCTGGTCACTATTTTATTGATTTGGAAATCGATTCGTCTACATTGTATGTAGCTTCATTCACTACGTTGATATTTTCAGTTCTATGTATATGTTTCGAGTACATCCATGCTTCGTTGACTAAGATCCCATGGATCTGAATTGTCGCTCAGCTTTGTGTCAAAGAAGGAAGTGAACAGATGGCATTATGCTCTTTTTCTCTTACGTATTTTTAAAGCCTTTTTGATACACAGCCTCAGAAGACGTGAATTCTTTTCCCCATGACTGCATATTTTATACCAAGATTCTGTTTATTGCTTTGTTGCTGGTTTTATATATAGTTTTTGAGTTCATCTGATCTGGGATTGTCTCTCATGTTATCGTTTAATTTTGCAGGAGATGACTACAAGATCAAGGTCTGGAATTATAAGACTCATCGATGCCTTTTTACCCTGGTCGGACACCTTGATTATATCCGAACTGTCCAATTTCACCACGAATACCCTTGGATTGTCAGTGCTAGTGATGATCAGACTATTAGGATATGGAATTGGCAGTCACGGACTTGCATTTCTGTGCTAACTGGCCACAATCACTATGTCATGTGTGCCTCATTCCACCCGAAAGAGGACCTTGTAGTTTCTGCTTCGTTGGATCAGACAGTTCGTGTGTGGGACATAGGTGCTTTAAGAAAGAAAACTGTCTCCCCAGCTGATGATATTTCACGGCTTACTCAGATGAATACAGATTTATTTGGGGGAGTTGATGCTGTTGTCAAGTATGTCCTGGAAGGTCACGACCGTGGTGTTAATTGGGCCTCGTTCCATCCCAGTCTTCCTCTCATAGTGTCTGGTGCAGATGATCGTCAGATAAAACTTTGGAGAATGAATGGTAATCAAAGATTTTGCATTGTTGCCATCTTCTCTGCTTTTACACTTTACTTCATTTGGTGGACTTTCAATTACAGTCATTATAGGTTCTCTTGGTAAATCTTATATGTGATTTCTTCTTCTTAATTTTATTACTAGTAGATTTAGATGCACATTTAACGAAACTGAAGCAAGTTTCATTTTATAAAGAAGCAAAGACCAAGATCCTCCCAAAAAATGTCGTTATAAAGTAGGGTACATAAGAGAGAACAAGAATCTTGTCAAAGGAGCATTTTTCATTAACCTTTGACTGTCCCGTTCACATGCACCTGATTTCTTTTTCGTAAATACTACTGCTCCCAGTTGTGGAATAACCTGATGCATACCTGGGTACCTATTCTAACGATGATGGCTTATATTCTGCATTATGCCCCGTTTTCCTCATACTTTTCACTAAAATAAGATCAGTTGGATTCTGAAATTTAGAAACTGGTCCTTCAAAAGCTCTGTTACATGACATGTCCGATTTCTTGCAGTCAGCAACCTGGAACTGTAATAGATCTAATTCGGCTGCCTCCTCTAATCTACAATCATTGCTCAGTTCTTCTACCCCAGTTGTGTTAACCTCCTCCTGCGTAAAGAGGGTGACTTTCTCCTAATGCTTTTTTTTTTTCGAGGAAATGAAAAAATGAAGTAGAAATTTAGTCGATTGCCTCCTATCTGATTCGGGTACGATTATTTCTGTTGCATAGTCCAGTATACGTTCTTTCTACCCACTTTTTCACACCTAGGTGAAAAAGCTTTCTGTGAGGAGTTAAATATTTTTATTACAAACCAGAGAAATAACAGGCTTCCCGTTTTTATTGGTCGTCCCATCCTTTGTTAGCGGTAGTTGGTACCATGACTGGTGAACACAAAATACTTTTAATCATGACGATGTAGGACGTGTGGACCCAGATTTTGTGCTAGTCAATTATAATGGCTGATTCTTTTATACATCTCAATCGGACTACTGACCTGTATGCTTGCTTTGATCATGACAAAGTGGGACATGCTGGCCTGATTTTGCCATCAAATGAATTGTTCCACGGAGAATGGTTTTCTTCATCTCCTTAGCCTATCTTCTGATCTGTACCTTTGTTTTTTTTCTCTTTTTCCCATTGTAGATACAAAGGCCTGGGAAGTGGACACGTTGAGGGGGCACATGAATAATGTTTCATGTGTAATGTTTCACGCTAAGCAGGATATTATCGTCTCAAATTCAGAGGACAAGAGCATCCGTGTCTGGGATGTTACAAAGCGGACGGGCGTTCAGACATTCCGCCGGGAGCATGACCGCTTCTGGATCCTCGCAGCCCACCCTGAGATGAACCTTCTGGCAGCTGGCCACGACAGTGGCATGATCGTCTTCAAGTTGGAGAGAGAACGCCCTGCATTCTCTGTGAGCGGAGACTCATTATACTACATCAAAGATCGTTTCCTCCGGTTCTACGAATTCTCAACTCAGAAGGACACCCAGGTGATCCCAGTTCGGAGGCCCGGTTCGGTCAGCCTGAATCAGGGCCCTAAAACCCTATCCTACAGCCCGACTGAGAATGCCGTCCTGGTCTGCTCTGATGTCGATGGCGGATCATATGAGTTATATGTGGTATCCAAGGACACCGTTGGTCGGAATGATTCTGTGCAGGATGCAAGGAAAGGGCCTGGAGCCTCTGCCGTGTTCATTGCTCGCAACAGATTTGCTGTTCTTGACAAGGCCACAAACCAGGCCCTGGTGAAGAATCTGAAGAACGAGATCGTCAAGAAGAGTCCCCTTCCCATTCCCACTGACGCCATCTTCTACGCCGGAACAGGAAATGTGCTGTGCCGGGCAGAGGAAAGGGTAGCCATCTTCGACCTCCAGCAGAGGGTCGTCCTCGGGGAGCTCCAGAGCCCGTCAGTCAAGTACGTGGTGTGGTCGGGCGACATGGAGACGGTGGCCCTGCTCAGCAAGCACGCAATCGTCATCGCCAGCAAGAAGCTCGTCCACCGGTGTACCCTCCATGAGACCATCCGCGTGAAAAGTGGCGCCTGGGATGAGAATGGGGTCTTCATCTACACCACCCTGAACCACGTCAAGTACTGCCTCCCGAATGGCGACAGTGGCATCATCCGCACGCTGGACGTCCCGATATACATCACTAGGGTATCGGGCAACACCATCTTCTGCCTGGACCGTGATGGCAAGAACCGCGTCCTGACCATTGACGCCACCGAGTACATCTTCAAGCTCTCTCTCCTGAAGAAGAGGTACGACCAGGTCATGGGCATGATCAGGAGCTCCCGCCTTTGCGGGCAGGCTGTCATTGCCTATCTCCAGCAGAAGGGGTACCCGGAGGTGGCCCTGCACTTCGTCAAGGATGAGCGGACCCGCTTCAACTTGGCCCTCGAGAGTGGCAACATCCAGATCGCAGTCGCTTCTGCCAAGGAGATCGATGAGAAGGACTACTGGTATAAGCTGGGCATCGAGGCCCTCCGGCAGGGGAACACCAGCATCGTGGAGTATGCCTACCAGAGGACCAAGAACTTCGAGCGGCTGTCCTTCCTCTACCTCATCACTGGGAATACTGATAAGCTCTCGAAAATGATGAAGATCGCGGAGATCAAGAACGACGTGATGGGGCAGTTCCACAATGCACTCTACCTGGGCGACGTGCAAGAGCGAGTGAAGATCCTGGAGACTGCCGGCCAGCTACCCCTTGCCTACATCACTGCCTCCCTCCATGGGCTCACAGAGGTTGCCGAACGGCTTGCAGCAGAGCTGGGGGACGACGCCCCTGGCCTCCCAGAGGGGAAGGACCCCCGCCTCCTGATCCCTCCTCCTGCCCTCACCTGCAGCGGGGATTGGCCGCTCCTGCGCGTCATGAAGGGCATCTTCGAAGGTGGCCTGGAGGGTGCCGGGAGGTCCGTTGGGCAGGACGACGATGAGGAGGCTGCTGGCGCTGACTGGGGTGACGAGGACCTGGACATCGTTGACGTCGACCATGTGGTCCAGAATGGAGGCGAGGGTGAGGAGCAGGGCGAGGCGAATGCAGAGGAGGACGAGGAAGGAGGATGGGACATGGAGGATCTGGAGCTCCCGGCCGATGTGGAGACCCCGAAGGCGGCGGCAGCTGTCTCCCGCAGTGCTCTCTTCGTTGCGCCGGCCCCGGGGATGCCGGTCAGCCAGATCTGGACCCAGAAGTCGCCCCTGGCGGGGGAGCACGCGGCGGCTGGGGACTTTGCGACGGCCATGCGGCTGCTCAACCGGCAGCTTGGGATCAAGAACTTTGAGCCACTGAAGCCGCTGTTCATGGACCTGCACGCGGGCAGCCACTCTTATCTGCGGGCGCTGGCGCTGGCACCCGTCGTGCCGCTGGCAGTGGAGAGAGGGTGGAGCGAGGGCGCAAGCCCCAACGTGCGCGGCCCGCCGGCGTTGGTGCTCCGGTTCCCCCAGCTGGAGGAGAAGCTGAAGCTGGCCTACAAGGCCACCACGGAGGGCAAGTTCGCGGAGGCCCTGCGGCTATTCCTGGCCATCCTGCACGCCGCCCCGCTCATTGTGGTGGAGCAGCGGAGGGAGGTGGACGAGGTGAAGGAGCTCATCGACATCGTCCGGGAGTACGTGCTCGGCCTGAAGCTGGAGGTGAGGAGGAAGGAGACCAGGGACGACCCCGTCCGCCAGCAGGAGCTCGCCGCGTACTTCACCAACTGCAAGCTGCAGAAGGGACACCTGCGGCTCGCCCTCATAAGCGCCATGACCGTCTGCTTCAGGGGTGGCAACTTCGCCACTGCCGCCCACTTCGCCCGGATGCTTCTCGACACCAACCCCGCCGCCGAGGCACAGGCCAAGCGCGCCCGCCAGGTCCTCCAGGCCTGCGCCGACAAGCAGGACGCTGCCCAGCTCAACTACGACTTCCGGAACCCCTTCGTCGTCTGCGGCGCCACCTTCGCCCCCATCTACCGCGGCCAGAAGCACGTTGCCTGCCCTTACTGCGGCTCCCACTTCGTCCCCGACGTCGAAGGCCAGCTCTGCCCCGTCTGCGAGATCGCTGCTGTCGGCGCCTACGCCTCCGGCCTCCTCTGCTCCCCTTCGCAGGCCCGGTGATCGACGACCAATTGGCGGCGCCCCCTGCACTCCAACCGACCAACGGCGACGACCGACATCCTCTGGGTATTTGCTTATTTTTGCCCCATCTTTCATTGCCCCACCTCTCTCTCTCTCTCTCTCTCTCTCTACTCGTGTTTCATCAGGTGAGTAGACCTAAGAAGACTATAATCTGCCGCATGCTCGCGCTAGGAATTTATTCTTTAGCTGGTTGATGTGCTTGGAGGCGCGCGGCGGCCTCTCCTGCTCGGATTTCCCTCTCTGCCTCCGTGCGCCTCCCTCCTCCCTCTAACATTCTCTTCTGGTCAAGTCAACGGCGGGCCTCCGTAGCGGACGGCTGGTCGGTCAGCCGTGGGACTCAAGAGTTTGTTCTCCCTTCCTTTTATGATGCTAAATAATTATTTGCCCCCCTCCTCCCCCGATAGAGGAAGATCTTCTGCCTTCCCATTCCATCTCTCTAGAGTTCCAGCCTCAGTTGCCTTCCATGTTGGCTTCCCATTTCTGATGAAATCCCTCTCATCACGGTCCCTCCCTCACCTTTTCCTTCCTGTCCTCGACGCGAGATCCAACGTTGACTATTCGACGTCCTTCGTTGACTCTTCACTCCTGTTTGAGGGCGGCGGTCGGACTACAGACGAGCTGTCGAGTTCCGTCCACGTAAGGTCGTGGCATCCTTCGTCTCTCTTCTACCCTCGCCATGCCGACATCTCTTCCCCTGGATTTCTTCCAGAGATTCTCACAGGAAGACCCGCCGCCTAATAGGCCGGTCTATAGGCGCATACAGCTACTCTCTCTCTCTCTCTCTCTCTCTCTCTCTCTCTCTCTCTCTCACCTAAAGCCTTTGACCTTAGATGTGTGGGTCTCATCTCCTCTCTCTCTCTGTAGTGAAGAACCCACAAGTCAACGGCCACAAACAAGAAGTGGGAATATTATGGCTAGTTGTTGATTTGATCATGTGTCCTCTTGAACCATATATTAAAAACCGACTAGGTCATCCTGGCTTTTTTCTGATTTCTACCCGCGTGAGATTGGACTGGAATAAGGAGGTGATTTTCAACAAGAAGAAGACAATATCAGGAAAATTACCTTTTTACTAACTTTAGTTCTTCTTATCCATATTATTAATCGCGTCCTTGTTAGCATTCTGAGCACATGATTCATGGAGGACTCAATTTTTATGTTATGTTTATTTCGGTTAGCATAAATCGGTCGGATAATGTTGAGGGAAAATGGGGTAAAAATGAAAATTTAGCCTTGAGTCAACGAACTTCTAATTCACATGAATGTCAGCTTACATGCTCCCTATAACCAACCTTTGGGAGAAATATCCGTCTGCTGAGTCTATAGTTGATGATAGTCGATGTGAATTTAATCCAGCTTTTAGATGAGCCGTGTTGTGCATTCTCATCAGTTACTGTCCAGAAGGAGAGCTAAATCTTGCGAAAATGAAATTAATTCATGTGATTAGTCCAACATGATCCTATTGGAAACTCTAGAGAGAGATAGATAGAGAGAGAGAGAGAAGAGAGAGAGAGAGATAGATAGAGAGAGAGAGAGAAGAGAGAGAAGAGAGAGAGAGAGAGAGAGAGAGAGAGAGAGAGAGAGAGAGAGAGAGAGAGAGAGAGAGAGAGAGAGAGAGAGAGAGAGAATTTAGAGGGCAGTTCGTCTTCTTTCTTGCGGCTCTGAAAAACATTGCCGCTCCCGAATGAGTTGTAGAATGCCAAATCGTCTTTTTCTGCTGCCGCTGTTGCTGCATTATACTTGATGGGTTGAAGCTGGTGATTATAATGTGTATGACCGTGTGAGAGCTTCTCACTTATCCTGAATGGTGGGGAGGTGTTGACCTGCGCCCTAAGTCCCGGAAGCTACGCCGACCTGCCGGCGGAACAGGTCAGCGCAGCAGGGTATCCTGAGGACCCCTTGAGCCTGGTACCCAAACTCCTGCGCCGCAATCTCCAGCAGGGCAGCGACGGCGTGGTGGCCGAAGAGGCTGATGTGTTCCTTCCCCCCTTCGTCCGTGCCGACCAGCACCGGCACGTACCCTCTCGGCGGCCGCGTCGTCCGCTCCTCCTTCCGTCGGGCGGGGAGGAGACGCTCCTCCTTTATTCTCCCCGCTCTCTGACCCATTCATGAAACCGCTTCTACTCACCGAGGGGATGGCTCATCTTGTAGCCTCGCTCGCTACCGCCACCGACATCGATGAGATGACCATGCTGCTCTACTAAACATTAGGAGAGAGAGAGAGAGAGAGAGAGAGAGAGAGAGAGAGATGACAAGAGAAGAATGTCGGGAATCTTTGGGGTTTGACGGGGTGGGGGGAGGCGGCACGGGGGACAGCATATAATCATTCGTGATGCCATTAACTCAAGAAGACGAACGACGAACGACGAACGACTGCCCCATTTGGCAACGCACTAAGACTTCAAACCTTTATATGCTGATCGTTCACATGTGTTAGAACAAGACGCTATAGAGACGAAACACTCTTCCTGGTGGTATTACTCCGTTGGGCATAGACTTTTAGGGAGATACGAAAGAATGCCAACTACGTCTCTCTCTTTCTCTCTCTTTCTCTACGTAGACTGTAAATCAAGAGATTACCCTCGGTTGAACGGGATCACTTCAAGACCCTCAGAACAAGTCAACTCCATTGATAGAATCCGTTGATAAATGTTCGGGGGGTACCTGGTGGCTGTCATATATGGACAAGACCGAACCAAGACCATAGTCCAAGCTTGTGGTGTAGTTTTCCCACTACCCCCCTCAACTCTCCATTATGATTTTAGTAGTGATTTTATGGGAAGACCCTTGGAGGTTCTTGAATCATGTGGAAAGAGAAATGCAGGAGAAGGTGTTTCCACATGTTTAGTCCCTAATAAGTCTTCATTATCATGAGTTAATAATTAGTAAATAATGTAGTTTTAGTTTTAACTCATGATAAATAGACATATTTATGTTAAAGTGTGGAAAGTGATTTTCAGTTGATTAATATAAATTTTTAGGTAATTATGTGATCTTACATAAATTTATATGATTTTTACAATCTTACTTTTGAGATAAATGAAGACAAAATGAGGGGGACCTGTCAACCAGCCAAACCCACAAGTAGTGGTTGTACACGCAAGAGAAGGGACTTACTTAGGAATGAAACATTAGTATATATTCGCCTGAAAAATCGGTACACAACTGATGTGGGACTAAACCTGTGTCACCTTCCCTAGAAAGGGCGGGCAACCGGTTCAAATCCTCCTAGAGTTAAAGATTATATATTTTTATCTAATTATTACGACTTTCTTGTAGATCTTTGGTGAAGGATTAAGTAACGAGAATCACTAGATCATTAGTGAAAATCTCGTCAATGTGATTCGTAGAGCATTACTACTAAAATTATTGACGATTCGCGATAAAAGGATTGCGAATGCATCGAGTAAATTATCTTCGATTAGTCGATGAACAAACTGTCGTTGAGAAGAGGATGATCCACCAAGAGATAAGTCACCACCTCCTGAGAGCATACTAGATGCGATGAAGAGCCTCCTCTTGTTGCGCGGACCTAAGGATAAAACTCTTTAACATGCGCCCCACCTCCATTTAGTTCCTCTCCATCGGGTGATAGCCACAAGTGCAAAGTCACTAGTTTTCTGCTCCACCAAGTGACAGCCGTCGGAGATGACTCGATGACTCATTTCATTAATCTCTAGACTTCGTGAGAAGATCTAGAGATTGTCCACATCATTTTTGTTCAAGGAGAGCCCTCGAAGCCGTAGACACTACACGATGATCTTCCTAAATGCTTAGGATTTTAATACATTGCCAACGCATTACCGTCGTAATGTCGGAACTCTGTTTTCCTACTTTCAACTTACTTTACGCTTTATTTAGTGATAATTTGTGTGATTTTAATTTACCAAAATATACTTTCTTTAATTACGATTTTTTTGGCTTTTACATGTCTTAATTTGATTAATTAAGTCATCTATAATCGCTTACATAAAAATCACTAGGTGAAATTTTGTTTCTGCCTGATTCGCATTCGCCGGGTGCTGACATCATCCTAACGTCTGCTCTTTTATTTCCCTTTTTCATGAATTTTAAATATATTTCCTTTTTATTTCCTAGTATAAAATTTATAAAAAATTGTATTCATTTAGAAAAATTCTGAATAATTATCAAATATTATATTACATCCCTATGATTGACCTGGAAAATTATCACTAATTTTGAAAGTTTTATTAAATTATAATTGATATATTTGTTCAGAAATACTTTTAAATATCTGAAAAATCATATTTTCTAGTTTTATAAATTTTAGATTTACATGATTTAATATACAACAGATTAGTCACGTCAGTCCCCTATTGGATACTATTATAGAGGGAGGGTGTTCCTTTTAAGAGAGTAGAGGTAGAATTACATTCCCCTCCCTTCAGAGAACTTTTGAGGGTTTGCTCATGAAATCGTTGCTCCGAACCTAACACTCTTCACCTTCACCACATCATTATCATATAGTCACGATCATCATCATGCATGTCGTTATACCAAGGAGAATGTCTAGGTGGAAAGGAGGAGACATTGAAGGGCCTCTCATCATCGTGTTGATGGGGTACTGTGTAAAGAACCTTTTATATCTCTAGATACCTCATGATCTAATCAGGGCCTTTAGATGCCACACAGTAATAACTCATAGAGCCCCTCCTAGATATTTGGATTTTAAAGTGAATGAACTGGTGGCTGGTGAGTGTTTTCAGCCTAAAAAAGCTAATGTAGTCAGCAAGTTGCCACAAGGAGAATATTCAGATCGGCCCATGTTTTGGAATCGTGATAGAAATCACATGAAGTGGACACCCTACTGAAGCTCTCTCCCGCCCTCTCTCTCTCTCTCTCACACACACATACATAGACACACACACACAAAGACACACATAGACATAGACACACACAATTTAGTTCAAAACATCCCATGTTACTATCCAATTATATAATAAATGAATAAAATGTGCCCTCTTTATAGGAAAAACATTTTCCATCTACACTTTACTTTTACCATATAGAACATGATTTTAGTGATGGGTTATTATATCAATTCAGGAAGTTTATTTATTCATTTGATTTATTTAAGAAACTACCTTTATAAACCTTCAAAGGCTAAGTAGTAGAGAGAAACCTACATGTAATGTTAGTAAATCCTTTTATATTTTAATGGATGCATAGTTGTAAGTCATGTGTTCATAAGGTAGATTGTAACCAAATCACAACATAGCTCACAATAATGAAATTAAAAGTCTGATTGATGTTTTTATATTTCCTAATTTGACCACAGATTCATCCTACAATGTTTCATGTTAGGTGGATGTATCTCACATCTAATTAATATGCACTTAATTATGTGTAAAAAATGATGCCAGAGAAGATTTCTATTATGCCATTTAACCTTTGAGCTTCTATTTCCCATAGAGGTATCAATTCTGATAATAGTAACATGGGATACAATTTTGAACTAAATTGAGCCATCCAACAATCAAGTAGTTGTTTCCATTTTCATACAAAGGCAGGAAGATCAGATGTTACATGTTTTATCTTCACAAATTGTTAATGTTTGAGAAATTTCCTTATTATTCTCATTTATTTTTTTTCATTGTTTAAAAAATTAACCCATGGAATAAAATATTGATCTAAGTGTCTTATAAATTTTTAACATGTGATGAAAAAAGTCTTTAATAAACTTTATATATTGTGAAAGTTAGAATGACCAATGAAAGCAAGGTTTTGATAATCATAAATATACAGCCTTTAGCAAATATTTTGAATCACATCACTAATAATGTATAATACTAATTAATATAATTTACCAAGTTTTTGGATTTATGTTTAGTGAGAATGATTAATTAAAACAACATGAATTGTGTCTGATGAGCCTATAAATGAAATAATAGAGTGGTGAATTGATTTTTTTTTCTAATGGGTTATGAGAGAAATGGAGTTGATGCAGTTGAAGAGAAACATTATAGTTAAAGTGAGCGGACTCTAAATAAATTATAGTGTGATTACAAGGGGAAACACAATTTATAGTCATTTGAACTCTCTTGACTTATTCAACTCTTGAGCGCGTCTTCTTTGACTTTAACTATCCACAAATAATAAAATATATTATTACAATGCATCAACTCAACTTCACTAGATTAATGGTTCTAGCTGCATGAAATTCCTTACTTGATTTTAGATTTATGGCTCTAAAGGACAAAACATTAATAATCTAATGTGAGCTCACTATTTTCAACTGATGGGTCTAGAAACATCCAAGTGCCCACTAGCACCTCTTGAGAGAGACATAAGTTTACTACTATAAATCAAATGGTTTCAATGATAACTTAATTGAGTCTTATGGTTGTTTAGTTTGGATCTTTCTTATGGTATGGTATTTTGACTAAGATTTGGAAGCTCTTCATGCCAATGTTTTGTTTACAATGATTACTCATGGAGTTTCAACATGGACTGTACTCATGTCAAATAAATATATTTTCTTCCCTAGTGATAATTTTGGGTGCTTCGTTATTGGCTGTTTGTTAACTATAAATTTCAATTTTTTTCTGATTTTTGAAAGTCTCGTTATTTTTATCAATTGTTTAATTTACAATAGAGATGAAAATTAAATAAATACCTTTTTTTCAGTTGTTGTAATGTAGTTTTTCTTTGAAGGTTAAGATAGGTTCATGATTTTCCAACAAATTAGTATGGTGATGATGTTAGACTATGGAATGAATTATGTGTGGGAGTGTATACCATAAGAAGAAGACTACTCCTAGAAATAGGAAAGACTCAAAAATGGTGATTGCACTGGGGTGAAAACATAAAATAATAGACCACAAATGTTTGAAGGTTCAACATGTGTTCAAATACAAAACTCAAACAATTAGGTTAGTAATATGATGCATAAAATTTATAGGATTAGTAATTTTTCTCTAATTAAGTTTCTTTGATGTTTTTGTTAATTGATCTAATTTTTTAGGAGATTGACAACATATTTTACTCTCTTCAAAGACCAGCCATTTAAAATTTAAGGGGACTAATCAACATTGAATTTTCATTCTCATAATAGATTTTTCTGTACCTATGTATTATAAGAATTC